TGGTGGAACACGAATCTTTTAGACTGTGGGACCACAACAACGTCGCTGGAAGTTTGAATCCCCAACTGTCTCTAATCCTCTGTGAGAACCAAAACTCTGGCGGGGTGGAAGCATGTTTGGTGTCATGGCTGAAGCCATACAAAAACCTTCAAGGCAGACGAATATCGCTTGATGACACAAACAATGTTATATATCCATCGCATTTTACAGAGGAAAGGACAGATTTCAGAAAGTGTTACATGTTACTACCAAATGTTGGTGCCCGCGTTCGAAAACAAGCACGGGAACATGTGGAGTCTTGGATTCTTCGTTTGAGAGATATGTGCAACACAGCTGCGGATGGTGGTGTTCAACAGGAGCTAGGAGTACCAGCAAGGTGCAAAGCATGTATTTTTCAACGAGATGATTCATCTTCATCGTCAGGTATTGGGGCCAGTGGTCTTGACGACCTCGAATTACATAAATGTGCACTATGTTTGCAACATTTTCACAGTGAATGTAGCCAACAGATGGCTTCAACTGTTGACTCATTTAGATTGACCACTACGATCACATCACTATCTGATCATGGTATTGAACCTCTTCAGATTCCTTTTGCACTTTTGTCGCTTGAACTTGAACATTGTTTTGGTTTTATTTACGTTTCCCAATTGACATCACCATCACCACATAGGATTGTTACAACACTTGAATAACAAACTGATGGATGATGAATTCAAAAAAAGTGGAATTTATATAGACCTAGCCGACCTAGCCCAACATGAGGCTTGGAATGAATGACGACGATGCTGCTGTGTCCTCCGTCTTCACAAACGCGCTTGGCGATGAACCTGACGCGAAACTGGGAATCTGCTCTTCTCTCTTCGACGAGAGTTCAGTCAGCATTAGATGTCCTGTATCAAACAGTTGACAGTTGATATAAAACTGAAACTGAAACGTGTCAAAAACATAATCATAAGTTTATCCCAATCAACACCGAACTTGTCAACCACTACCAGCTTCTATACTCCTGTTCAATAAAGTGTTGAACAAACCTTCATAAGGACATCGATGGCTCAACGATTGACGTCCACTTCGTCCACGGCCTTGTGCAAAAGCTGCCTATGGTACATCAAGCTTGGTTGGGAGTTTTAATGATGGTGAGAATGGTTTCTGGGCTCAACATTCAGGTGGTTGTAGTTGTCTATAGATGCGGTGGGGGCAGCCACAAAAACAATGGTACGTATCTCATCACGCCTCACCTTTGACTATTTGTTTTTGACGTGCATTTGCTAAGGTGACTAATGTGTTAACTTCAACAACTGACCCAAGTGACAGTGACAGAACAACATACAATAATCACTGGTTTTGTTGCCGGCTGTTCAACTATTGTTGATGTAAGTATGTTCAACGCAAGAAAACCTGTATGGTTGTTTCCATAATATGTTTGATTGCTTCTATTATATGTATCTATATTATTTTGAGTTATGTTTGATTTGTATCAACGCAGACCCAGGACCCAAATCCACCTAATTCAACCATATTCTTATTCAGCTAGTTCACCATCGTCCCCCTGGTGTGGAACTGCGCAAAACCTTAAGTGCCTTTGTCTCCAAGGACATCGGATATGGTGGCAAAGTCATCAGTTCCTGTCGTCGGGATACTCAATCTTAGTTGGTGAGACCATATGCAAAACAAGATCAGACATGCATTCTTGTAAGCTGGTTGGAAGTCACTGGAAGTTGTAACAAACTATTGTGCGATGGCTACATTCAAAAAAAGGTACCTTGGTGTGAGCATTGCAGAATTGAGCATGATAGTCACTTTTGGCTACAAAGCATAGGTCGACCACGCTCTTATCACTAGAATGGCTTCGAATTCTGAGCGTGTGAGCTATGAGTTGCCTGGCATCGCTCGAGAAACCGATGAAGAGCTTCGCCAGCGCCGGGAAACTGAAGCGTGGTGTCACAGAATTGGGTACAGCTCTAAGCCTCCATCTAATCCGGCAAGGTGGGGAGATGGAGATGGAGATCAGCCCTACGAACCGCCATTCACTGTCAGTTGTGCAGTCTTTAATGATCCTCGTGACCTTTCTCAGTTTCTCAAGACATTGATTAGTGAAGGATGGTGTCCTGATCGATATCCACTATGGCATCCAGTGAGAACAGATCAAGCATCCGTGGAATGTCTGAGGGCCTTCAAGAGACATGCTTCTACTTCTACTTCAAAGGAGTCACCGAACAAGAAACAAAGGTCAACCCGATAGTGAGACGGCGGCGAATCATCACTCTTTGGAAATCTTAGGATGTGTGTTTCTTGTGTTTGTGCTGAATCGATTGAATGCATTGTGCATTCTCGCTCCTGTTTTGAAAAGACAGTCTGAGCCTATGTGGTCTAGGCATGTGAGTGTCTTGGACAGTGCGATCTTGATTTGAACCTGATGTGAAGCACATCCATTGGTCTGCTAGGCCTTTGCTTTGAATAGGTTCACGTGAACCATTGTGATGCCGAAGTTTTGTTTCTCATGGTTTCATGTGCCGCATACCCATCGAATGTTGCAATGGGAAATGTAACTATATAATTATCAGCTGTTAGACGAGTTATAGTTATTTTAATGAAACACTTCCGCAATGTCAAAATGTTGGTGAACTGATTATCAAATGGTGCAACCTTGCCAGTGCATTTCCTATTCTATATTCATCGGCTTTTGGTGTGCCAGCGGTATGCTACAAAAGATATACCTTAATTAATTTGATTAGATGTCTGCCACAAAAAGCTTGGCAGATATGCTTGATAGCGATTGGTAGCCTTTGCTTTACAGTAAATCTTTGTACGCATCGACTGCCACAACAAGTTAAAGAGCGGTCCACACACTGAGAAAAAGCAAAGAACAATCTCTGCAACACATGTTGATATTTGCAATGAGAACGCAATGCTATGAGAATGCAATGATCTTGACAAACATGAACAATGATACGCACATTGTTGATATCATGATTATGCATTACGATCCGCCTGAGGCTAAACCATTTCGTTTTGCTACCGCTTCACCAAATGGTGATACGTGCAAGCCTGAGTGACGAAATGGGTTTGGTGTTTTTAATGCAGTTAATAAAAATACACAAAAAATATGTTGTAAATATAGCGTATGAGCACATAATATATATATATAATATATATATATATATATTATATGATATATATAATTATAATATATAATATATATAATATATAATATATAATATATAATATATATAATATATAATATAATATAATATAATATAATGTAATGTAATATAATATAATATAATATAATATAATACAATATAATATAATATAATATAATATAATATAATATATATAATATTTATTCATATATAATGTATATGTATATATATAAATATATATATATACATATTTATATATAATATATATATATATATGTAAATATATATAATAATATATACATATATAGTATGTATAATATATATATAATATGAAATATATTGTATATAATTTATATAATATTATTTTATATGCATATATTATTTTTATACATAATATACAATATATATATATATATATATACATATATATATATGTATAACTATGTACTATAAATATTTATTCATGACTTTATAAATATAAACAGATAGAGATATGTAAATGATTCTCTGTATTGTTTACAATGGTTGTTTGACAAGAGCCGCTGATGAATAGCTTAGGAAAGAAGTAGCCTTATAAGGGAAGGGATAGCCTAGGGTAGGGGTAGCCTAGGGGAGGGGTAGCCTAGGGGAGGGGTAGCCTAGGGGAGGGGTAGCCTAGGGGAGGGTGCCTAGGGGAGGGGTAGCCTAGGGAGGGGTATCTCTAGGGGAGGGGTAGCCTAGGGAGGGGTAGCCTAGGGGAGGGGGTAACCTAGGGGAGGGGTAGCCCTAGGGGAGGGGTAGCCTAGGGGAGGGGTAGCCTAGGGAAGGGGTACCTAGGGGAGTGTAGCCTAGGGGAGGGGTACCTAGGGGATGGGTAAGCCTAGGGGTAGCCTAGGGGGGTAGCCTAGGGGAGGGGTAGCCTAGGGGAGGGGTAGCCTAGGGGAGGGGTAGCCTAGGGAAGGATAGCCTAGGGGAGGGGTAGCCTAGGGGATGGGTAGAGGTAGCCTAGGGGAGAGGTAGCCTAGGGGAAGTGTAGCCTAAGGGAGGGGTAGCCTAGGGGATAGGCAGATACCCAGAGATAGTTAATGCAAGAATGATATAGCTAGGGAAGCCCAGGGAACGGTTGTCTATTTGCCTTCAGGCGATGGCTGCGTGCAATGACGCTAAGACAGCGTGTGGAGCCACAGTTTGGAAGTTCAAATATAAGCTGCTCATAATATTATTGTATGTTTTCTGTGTGTGTATATTTATATATATATAATATGATTGGTATGTCATAGAGTACAGCGAAAATTTGCAATTCGGAATTTGGAATGTCAGAACAACAGCCATGCAGAGTTTAATATGCTCAAACCATCAACACATGTGTGCATTTGAGACAACCTGAAACCAGAAAAGGAATATATGCATGGATTTAGTAATTATCTATTGTGTTTTATCGACATTTTGTTCTCATCGCTCAGACATGCTGAGTGTCTGACTGTGAAGCCATGCCACTTCCATTTCCGCCTGGGCAATCATTTTGTTTGCTGCGGGCTGAGCATGATGTGATTGCACCGCAAGATGCATCTACGCTGGTGCTGTTCAGGAGCATGTTTGTGTGTAATATATACATATACATATATACATATATACTATACCATATTTACATATTTGTTTATGTAACATATATTTGTGAATATTTAATATTTGTGAACAAAAGATACAACTACAATACTGGTTCCCCTGAGGACTATACCATTGCCACAAAGAGCAGTGCTGGAAAACATCACGATTGTGAATCATCCGGACACCAAGACATGGTCAGTTGTCGGGTTTGCGCCCAAAGCTACATGGATGTTCCTTCATGATGGAGAAACAGATCATTTGGAAACCATGCCTCGTACAGTTCAGAATGCCGTCAAAACATCGTATGGGTCGATGAAAAAACTTAGAGACAAACTTGGTGTGATCAAGTCTGATGCAAAGATCACTGTCATCATGTTGGAATCCTATGTTTCGAAGGGCCCTGACTACTATGATCTCCAAGATCCAAAGGTCCGCAAAGGATATGGAACTATCAAAGTTAGCTTGGCACCGAGAGATTTGAACCAAACAGCCATAGAAGGTATGTTCAAAACCGGCGTGTCTGCAAAGCCTCCACCAACAGAAGGCATCACCCAGGGTGAAGAATCTCAGCGAGCTGCGCCAGTTGCTGATGATGTGGATGGTGAGGATCATTCAAAGCATATGGCTGAAGCAGCTGATGCTACACTACAGGCACTACAGGTTCCCAATGCAGTATCTTGATTTATGGTGAATGTTTTCGAATGGTCGAAATGGTATAACTTTCAACATCCAACACTCTTCACATAATGTTAGTTTTATTTTGTTGAGCCGAAGATTTCAAGATATGATGATATCAGATATGGTAAATGTTAATCTGGTATCTGAATCATTGGAATCACTGGATCGCTAATCATTGTTCACTGAGGATGTCGGCGACTTGCCTGAGACGGTTGTGGAGGATAACCTGCATGCGGCAGAACCGGCTCTTACAGAGGTAGTTGTTTCCGAACCAGTTGTCCCTGAAGTTGTCTCCCCAAAGGCTTCAAACGATGTTGAACCAGAACCATCGTCACCATCATTGACAACCACGAAGCGACCACTTGATACATCACCTGTGTGGCTTAGACTATGTCAGTTCTGTTTTGTTTGGAAAACACACGGCTACTAAATAAAAAAATGCAATGATAGATGATAGATAGAATAGATAGACTAGATAGACAATAGATATATACCATGCTCACATCGGCTGAGGTCAGTCGTATCTGATGGTGGTCCTGCCGGTCCCACAGCGTCGACAGATTTGGAATCAGCACATAGAATCTTGTTGAGTTTCAGCATGCATGATTGTAATCATTCCATGAAAATCATTTTTTTTACTGTTGCTACTTGTGAAATGTCCCCATATGGTATACTCAATACTCAGTGATTTTGGTGGTAAACCTTTTGGTTCAATGATTGAATGTCAATGATGTAGTGGTAGCAATGGCCTTTGCATTTGTAAACAAACCTCAGGATGGCCTGAGTTCTTCTTGCACCGCTTTGCTTCATGCGAGAAGCTGCACGACCAAGGCGTTGCCTTGTGTGAGGTCGAAGATTTTCAACCGCTAGTCGAGTTGTTTGAGAGGTATCAAATCAGCAGTTACTCAACAGCTTTCAGTGGCATTGACTCACCGGGAACCGCTATGGCACAACTTGGGTGTGCACTTACATCCATCATGAAGAAACAGGCACTTGCCCCAAAACATCTTCATGGGATTGACGATCGGTCAAATTGTTTTGAGTATCAAGTTTTCATTTGTTATTTGTTGTATATATTTTGTTTTGATGGTGATCATTGTGATAAAAATGTGTTGCTTATCTACCTTTCCTATCCCGTCCCATCCATTCCGTATCCACCTTTGTGACCTTTGTATGCTTTCCGCTTTCCACAGCCGCAGCAATAGTCCTAGGAATGGGACAAGAGCTGCCAGACAGAGCTTCTGAACCACCCACATCCACCGGGATGTTTGTTCACTGACATTGCAAGTTTCCTGAAACCCGAGCTGCAGTACTTGCTGAAAGATATGCAGTCATCTGATCGATTGCGTTCTGATCTGATGCCTTTGATCAAAAAAGGAACCGCCATCAACACGTAACTCGATGGCTAGACGGTTCAATGGTTTAATGGTTTCCTAACAAGTTAACAAGTCAAGTATATCAGTATATCAGAACCAAACTTGTTTGTAATTTGCAATTGTAATTTGTAATTTATAATTTGCAACTTTGTAGCTTAGTCTGAGTCTCATCTAACTGAGGCATGCGTGGTGTGTTGCACATGAGCGGCATTGTGATGTCTCCGGTCTGGTTGCAATGCTGAACCTCGCCGGGCATGTATGCTGCGCCCACTCGGCTATGGGCCCACTTGACCGTGAACAAGCGCTGTCATTTGCACACTTTCTGATCTACTGTGGACTACGCGCTCGCCTACAGGAGCCAATAGTGGTCACTGAAAATGTGGACTCTTTTCCACGAGAGGAGGTGGAGGGCATGTTAGACATGTACGATTGGTCTTGGTCCATCCTGTCACCCCACCAATTTGGGTGGCCCATCAGAAGGGTGCGCCAATGGGGAGTTGGCCGACATAAGGTGAAAACTTTAGCCTACCGATCTTTGCTGAACATCTTTACAGGTATGTTCTCACGGCAGAAGTCATGTGATTGGACAATGTTCTTCTGGGAGAATCTCGGTCAGATTTATTCCATGGTTCATTGGTACATGAACTCTGACTAATCTTTTAACCTTTGCTATGCTCATCGGGTTTTGGAGTACTGTCATTACTGTGTCCTATGGAGCCTATGGAGTCCTTTGGGCCTATTGGATGTCACATATCGCTTAGGACCAGCACTGAGAACCAACAAGCTGAAGTGAACTGGGCTGCCGGGCGCCCAGAATCGCGGTGGAAGCTTGCATCATCGACTGCTACTCCACCGCCACTTGTGACTGAAGATACTGAAAATGGGGAAAGCGCATTTGAGGCAGTGTTGACCCAAAACGAGTTTGAATTCTATCAGACCTACCAGAAGATGTTTCCCAAGCTGGTGTACTCGCTCAACCAAGACCCAAGCGTAAAGCCCATGAAGCCAAATGGAAAGGACCATATTGGACCAAAGTCTTATGCAATGCAAAGTACATTACTTTACGGTTCGTCGGTTCGTTTACCTCAATGTTAACACATACTGTTTTGAATTGGAACCAGGAACCATCAAACCGACAGATTCCTTGAGCCGCAACCACAGGACATGTTTACCGTCATTGCAAGCGCAAACATTTTCATGAGTGCTCAGCATCGACGGTGGCTCACACTTCGAGAGATGCTTTCACTTCAGGGCTTTCCTACTGATTGCGAGTTCACATATGGTAAGCCTTGCTCGAGCTTTGCACTGCGAACACACCGTGCGTCTCTTGGTCTTGAGTCTGAACCATGGCCAACACGTCGGTCGGTTTGTCATCAGTCTGGAAATTCAATGCATGTGGCAGTGAGCGGTGTTGTGTTGCTTTTCTGCCTTTCTCAGGTAGTGTTTGATCAAGAACTGTTGAATCTTCAGATTTTTCAGCGGAAGCGACAATGTCGCCCAGCTGACTTGTTTGGTTCATCAGTTTCAAACAAGAAAGCGAAGCTTTAGTCTTCAGTCTGCGACAAAGTTTCAATACAAGTGGCTGGTCATACCACATGGCCCCATGACCATTTCGTATGGATATGATATTATTACTGAAAACCCTTTTAATAACTATTGTGATTGTATCCACAAATTCACAAAAATATTGCAGCCGTGGTTGTGGTTGTGATGCGGTACTCGTTTCAATTTATTGGCCAGCCAGTCTTGCCAGCCATGGTGCTGAAACATCCGATATTCAGTGGCCAGCAGCGCCATGCCGCCATACCTAATTCATGTGACAGACCTGAACCTGAACCAGTCCGAAGTGTCTTCCAAACAACGATGTGGTGTTGAGTGTGGCGTTGATTGGTGCAACTTTGATGTCACAGCCACAGCACTACTCGACATTGCGTTATGTTTAGTTTCTCAGTAAGTTGTTCAAAGTGAAAACGTAACTTATGTTTTCACTTTGAACAACTTACTGAGAAACTAAAAGTCTAAGAGAAACCATTGTTGATGCCAAGAGTGACCGAGCCTGACTTAAAAACAAAAAAAACGTAAGTTTGTTAGATTTCATGATTTCAAGTGTCTAGTATCTAGTGCCATTTTGGCTGGAAAGACCGTCCTGAGACTGAGAGAGTAGATCGAATCGTTCTGGCAATCATCGGCCACTCTTGACTCTTTGTCACTTTGATTGAGATTGGGTAGCTCATTGTGATCATGTCAAGCGGGCCAGCCGCCGGTCAGAACCTTAAGAAGCTTGGGTCACTTCCAGGCGTGGATCCCTTCGACAACTCTCTTTCAGTGCAAGAGATCTTTGGAAACCTTTCAGGATCATTGCTTTTGGATGCCATTTTCCAGACCTACCAGATCGGTGACAACAAGACTCGTGTTAGGTTCTTCCTGGACGAGAACTCCACTGATGACACCGCAGTGCCATTTGCTAGCAGGCAAGTTGGAATAGTACGTCATGCATTCAATCAGAGGCGACATGCTGGAGTGAAACAAGCCTACATTAAAAGCTGCATGGCCCGGGGCATAGTGGAGGGAGTCCGTGGAGAGTGTTGGATAGGTGAACCAAAGCCTGATGCGCTTGGTGTTCGTAAGGGCCCATACCAAGCTTTGACATACGGTTCTTTGTTGGAGTCGTTCTACACGGCTCTCAACATGGAACCGGGGAATCCTTTGTTGATCCGTACCCTACAAAGAGGATTGGAGTGTCGACTCTTTTCACACAAAGTTCCCGAGAGTGTGGCCAAATACATGGTCAAACTCCACAATCGATTCCATCAGGGTGCTGGCGTTTCGTTCATCGAGCTGATACAAACAGTCCCAGATGCTTCTTGGCTCATCAATTACTCATGTTGTGTGATACGATGCGATATACAACATTACAGCATTACATTACATTTACATTTACATTTACATTTACATTTACATTACAATACATTACATTATATACATATCATTACATATATATAAAGTTACAGGGCTGGCTTCTTGACTGACCGACATTGAAAAGTGACCAGTGACCAGTGACGATGACATCTTATGTCGTCTCTCAGGTGGAATTTGGACTGGCAAAATTCAAGAAGGACAACGGCATCACTTGGAGCACCAAAGGGTACGAGACCAAATGCGCCTCAACTGAACTTGGATTTTTAGTTTAGTTTCAGTGAATTGAATTGTCAAATACAAAGACTCATACTTCTCTTACTTCTATGTGTTGATTCATTGCGTTGATGACATTTCTTCACTGATTCAATGCTGCTGTACTGAAAACGTTTCAAATGTGTTTTTTGAAACTGAAACCTAAGGCTCACAGTGGTTGCGTGGCCATCAAGATTGGGGTGAATCATTTCCAGAGTGGTCTTTGTTTGAAAGTGCACGGAGTGCTTACAACCTGCTCAACAAACGTCTTGAGCTTTGGGACGAGTTCCAAACCGAAATGGGTGAATTGTGTGACTTTCACAACGCCAAGATCAACAACAGCACAGTCTTACAGAACATCTCGCATTGCGCCAGCAGCATCTTGACAAGCATTTGGGATGGAATGGACGAGACAGATCTGCAGACGCTCGTGATGGAATGCTCGAAACTTTGCGTTCTTTGGCTTAGACTTTAGAATACTTTAGATCAGTTGACACCATAGAACAAAAAACAACAAGAACGTTCGATACTGATACCACTAAGAGTTCCTTTTCCTTTCCTTTCCTTTCTCTTTTCACTTGTCTTATTAAAAACAAAACAATCTTTTGTTGATATCAGCGGTTGCCAACATCAACACCGAAGGTGCCACTACTGATTGATGATGAAGCTGCTTCGGGTTGGATCTTTGATTCACTTGCGAAGAAACAATTGGTTAGCCGCTTGTTCACCAACATGTCCGGAAGTGTGATTTGCTCCGCTACCACGAAGAACAACTCCAAGAAACGCAGAGCACCAGCATCATCATCATCATTACCACCAAAGGCCAAGGCTAAAGCGAAGGCAAAGGCAAGACCATCCGGAGGTGCAGCGGCAGGTGATCCACAGATTGCGCCAGAGGATGGTTTGGAAGTCACCACGGTGAATTGTCAACGGGGAGTCAGACAGAAGCTGTGGGTAGATGACATGGTCATGTGCATCAATCACGCGATCAGCAGCGTCAAGAACAAGACCATGTTCAATCGCCTTGAGAACCAGGAGTTTGAAAGCTTGAAGAAAGAGCTCTTTCGAGTTGGTTTGACATTTGCCATCAAAGGATCCTACTTGCTCCCAGGCACGAACGGCAAGCCTGCCAAGTTGTACCGAAAGTGGAGCTCTCTTCGTCCAGCACTGCAGACATATGCTGTTGCTCAGCTGGTGGAGGCAGGAACCACTGTTGGTTTTGTTTTGATATTTGTTTAATGTGATTCAATGTGACTCAATGAGCATGTTAACTTGTTAACATAACTTATAACCATGGACCATGGACCATGTACCATGTCAGCTCAGCTTACTACTGATGTTGTCACATCACATGGCCCCTTTCAGGTTCTGAAGAGGCAGCTGAGTCAATGCCTGGTACATGATAAAGCCGAAGGCGATCAGACAGCCATTGAGTCGTTGGTGGATTCTGAGGTTGCATTGTCAGATGCATCAGTCGCATGGTCAACCAAGATCATTTCATTTGGCCATCATGTTGGGAAGTGGCTTGCATCAGAGGCCGACAAGACTGTGGCTTTGGACAACCGGGCTGTCACATCACATTCAACATTTGGGCACATGAAGGCGCAAATGCTTATGTCGTGTACTTGCTCACACTCAAGCGGCGATGCCTCAGCATGTTCGCTCCATTGCCCATCGCCATCACTGGCTGACATTGTGTACATCATTTGTCAAGCAGTTCACCCTGTCTTTGGTGATGGTTTCACATGCTTCACCAACCTGTTGATTGAGAAGACCGCCTCAGGCTGGTAAAGATGTGGAAAGATTCCAAAGACAAATCCATTTGCCATTTGCCACTCTTTCATTTGACAGTGTTACATACAAGCAAACAAACAATAGACTTTAATCCTATGACTATTTGATTTGACTTTTTCCTATTTAGATGAGTGTGTTGTTGAGCGTTTGATAAAGTTGATCTTTCCCAATTTCCCAATGCGGAACTCGCAGGATGGACCACCGAGTTGTCAGAATGCCTGAAGGGATTGCCATTCCAACTTGAACTTGGCCACGTGATGGTTCTAATGCGGATGCGTGCCACCTATGTAGTGCAGCTATTGGTTTCTACTTGCGAGAAGCATGCCACAGCTTTTCAAACATTATTCAAGAGACTTCGTGACCCAGAGACCCACAAGTCATTGACAGAGCTTGACGCATGCATCATCTCTGGTGCAGAAGCCTTCTGTGAGGCATGGACATCGGCACTTGTTGTTCTGAACAAGGACCAAGTTCTGGACAAGCATGCCATTCTGAAGTCGCATGGCATCAAAATCTTGGATGCATCTTCGATGGAAGCAGCTGATGTTGGGAAAGGTGAAAGCACAGATGGGACAACACAACCATCTGACACCCTCTTTGGCGTCAACGATCTCATCCAGTTCACTACTTGCAGCCGTGTATTGCCAGCTGACACCAACATGGCGCTGATGCATTTGATGCAGTTGACATTGTTCGAACAAGCCAGGCGCTCTAGTTGATAAACAGTTGGGGTCAGTCAAAACACCAAGCGTGAACTTACTGACTTACTGAACTTACTACGTTACTAAATTACTGTAACTATCTATGTCTATGATATCAAATGATATCAAATGATATCAATATCTATGATTCGGTCATATATATATAAATATATATTATGATAGAATTTATATTTTATGATTGTACATGTTCCGAATGTTAGACCAGATCAATTCGACATTCACTCACCAGGAAAACTGAGAAGCACCATGGCAAGTCATTGTTGGTGCACATGTCCGACAATGACAAGGGCAAATCTGACATTGAGATTCTGTACCAAGTCCCCCATGCATCATCAGTCTATCTTTCGCCCAAAGATGAATCCATCAAGCTTTGCAAGCTTCCTGCAGACTTCAAGTTGGTCTTCTTTGGTACCGTTGGAAGCATGGCTGTTCTTGGGTGTTGATTTTAACCGTTCATAACCATTCAAAGAATATTTTACATACTTATACTAAAGTTATATTTCTTTTGTCATTTGTTATTCATTATTTATTTTCATAATCATCGACAATCATCATCAGAATGTTTGAAACGACGGTACATCACATCAGGAGAGTTTCATTGTGAAGAGCCATCGAGCACGGCGACTGCAGCCAGGAAAGCACCATCGTTTGGGCCAGGAAAACCAATTCTTCAGATACCTTTGCTACCAGAGCAACAGCAACGAGAAGATGATGATGAGGAATCCTGGAAACGTTACGGTGCCTCATCTACTGATCTATATCTATTGAATCTTGTTGTTTGTGTTTGTTGTTGCTGTTTCTGTCTCTTTATCTGTATAGATTTTGATATCATTATTATCATAATATACTATATATATATATGTATATATATATATCTATCTATCTATCTATCTATCTATCTATCTATCTATCTATGTATCTATCTATCTATCTATCTATCTATCTATCTATCTATATCTATATTATATGTCTGACCTGAAGTGACTTTCTTTGTGTTAGTTTTCTCAGAACATGTGATTACCACCCAGGCGGTTTGGACTTTGCTGTGCATGCTGCTGGGTTCAATAGCCTGAACAATGCGGTCTTTTCGGTCGCATGGATGGTTCCATGTGTGGCAGATGAGTCGTGCGAAACATGCTTGGAATTTGACACCGAAACCACTCAGTTCTCTTTCACATTTGGTGGAGAAGACCATGGGCAGATCAAGCTCACTTACGCGGTTCTTCGTGCTACTGAGTCATCCATTTGCTTTGTCAAAGAGATCAATGGCAACCAATATGCGGTCTTGAAACGAGGATTGCTGCTTCTTGGCAATGATCAGTCATCAGTTTTGCACTCTCTGATCGTCTGATCGTCATACTAAATACTATGAAAAGGTCATTGTAATCACAAAACTTTAGTATCGTTAAATTCATTATGAATTATGTTTTTCAAATTCCTTCATTCCTTGATTCATTGCAACTGTTCTTCACACCAGGCCTGGAGAGAAGTGGAAGGCTACCAGAGGAAAAATTGCTCCATCAAGTGGACCATCATTCCCACTGCCGCCGCACAATGATGAGGAAGGACAGTCAAAGTTGGGGGGGGCAGCAGAAGCTATCAAAGCGCGAAAGAAGACAGATACATCGGATAGCACTGAGGCCGTACCTTTGCATTTAAAGGCATCAAAAGATTGCCAGCATCTGGTAAAATAGCCAGGTTTTTTGGGCTGAATCGGAGCTCTTGCAGTGTCTGTTCCCAGGTCCAACAGTTGGTTGTACCTGTTCCGGTAACATATTGCTATAGGTGTGGCAACCATATTGTTTGGTGCTATCAACTTAGTTACCTCAACTCAACTTACATTATTTGTTGTTTGCTGCTTCATACTGCCAGAATCGCCAGGGATCAACAGACAAACCAGAGAAGGAAAAGACTTAGAGTTAGACGGGCCAAGACTGGCCAAGGCCAAGGGCTAGAAACTAGCCAATGTGGGTGGGAAAAACTTGGTTTGTCTGACTGCAACCTTGGGCTGGACGAGTTTCATCATGTATCACCAGCGTCAGCATTGCCATCATCATCACCACTGCCAATATCATCATCACCATCACCATCAACATCAACATCTTTATCCTCTATCATGGGCTTCTTGATTTGGTTCCATATGACATATGACATGTCTCAGCTCTGGCCTACCAAGGTCAATTCAACTCTACATCTCGAGGTGCATGGTGCACGACCGATCTAAGATGGATCAGACCGAGGGCAAAACATTTGCCAGCGTGCCGGGAGTAGGGTATAAGGAAAATGTAAAGGATTAAGTTCTCTCAAACTATCAACCAAATCCATTTCCAAATTGCCACATGGTTGTAATCGTAATCAATGAAATCTTCTCTTTATCTACTGGTTATTGATAAGGCTCACTGAAAGGCCTATGAGGCTATGAGGGGAATCCACCATTGACCACCATGACCTCACCCAGTTGAGCTCCCTAGGGAACCCCCAAAAGCGCTCCCCTAGGGCTACCTTATATAGCATTGGAAGGCTTCAATCTAGAGAGGTTGAAGCACATGCCTATTCCTTTGGTTTTAAAACTGCAAACCACGCACAACCCTTAATCTGTTTGTTGGTAAAAAAAATGCAAAATGATGCAATGTAGTGCAGCCAGGGAAGGCACGTGGAGAGGGGCACCAACTTTAAATATGACTTTGTAGTATATAATTTTCACAGTTTCGACGCTCAAATCTAAACCTGAAAATTCATCAAAAAGAGTGCCGGTGGAGCAAGCACATAATATTATATATATATACCCTATATATAATATAATATAGACTACATATATATATGTATATATATATATAGAGTATATAAATAATATATGTATGTATATATAATGCATACGGGTACACTTGAGTAAAGTCCTTTTTGCAGTGTTTTGAGCGTTTCATAACATCTCACCGCGGTTCAGACCTGTCTCTTTGTGGGTTGAGGTGGTGGGGTGGGGCTTAGTATTAGGTCTAGGCTTTCGGTGTTGGGTGGGGTGGGGGATGAGGGTGCCGGGGTTGTGGTTGGAGATGTCGTGCATGTAGCATATGTGGTATACAATATCAGTGCATCTTGAGATAATAAAGAACACAATAAGCTGCACAGCGCAGAGGCCAGATTTGGGATTGATATTGTTCTTATGTTTCGTAACATCCATTTCTATATATGCCAGATTTTTGATCCATACTCAGCATATGATAGCTAATAGACATAATGAACTTTGTCTTGAAATTGCCCTTGTAACGGATAGTACATTCTTTTCTTCAATCCTTTTTGCCGATAGATTTGCACCTGACTCATGGGTTTTGTATAATATATTCAGGGTTGATTCCTGATGCTTGAGACCACTATGGTACAAAGTCTGGCAGATTTATCCATAGCTATGATTTGGCTGCTGGCTGGGAGGTTTTCCTGCAGGGAGTGTGTAGACTAATCCCTTCCCCCTAATACTACCCCCCCCAAATAATAAACACCAGGTAGTTTTTATTATTAGGGGGGTATTTACTATTAGGGAACCAAAGTTGAATTCATGCTATTCATTTTATGAATATATAATTAACTAATATATATATATATATATATATAATCAATGATACGTGTATATATAGTAATAATGTGTTGACAGTAGGGGTTTCATGAGGCAGATAGTCAGAACCAGTAATTATCCAGCGGGTCAGGTCCACAGACAGGAAGCCTCCATTGCTTTTTGGGATCAAGCAAACAGCCAGTCAGCTAGCCAGTCAGCCCTCCACGTGGTCAGACAAACAGTCAAGACAGACAGAGCCATGCAGGCAGCCCAGCCAGCTGCTGCTGCTGGGCTGCATGGCTCTGTCTGTCTTGACTGTGTGTCTGACCACGCGGAGGGCTGACTGGCTAGCTGCCTGGCTGTTTGCTGGCTGGCCTGGTGCCAGTGAGTGAGGCAGGCAGGTGAGCCTGGAAGTCAGCCAGCCCAGTGGGACAGGGATGCAGCTGAGGCAGGCAGACACTAGAAAAAAACAAGGCAAGCAGAGAGGCACTGGCTGGAATCTTTAATAGTTATCATGTTTCACCACCTGAAACTAAGGAAACCCTGAACATAGGTGTTTGTTTGTGGGATTATAAATTCAAGATTCCAGCCAGTCCAGACAGGACCTGGCAGAGCCTAGAAGTCAGCCAGGCTAGCTGCACAGGGATGTAGCAGCCGAGCAGACAGTACAGAAACTAGGCAGGCGTAGCGCAGAGTTGGCTGGAGTCTTTAAAGGTAGTTAATTAGTCTTTAACCCCATAAAATTAAAGGAACCTTACAACCTAATTATATGTTTCTGGGATCTATAATTTAAAGACTCCAGCCAGCTCAGAAAGAAGCAGGCAGCCAGCAAGGGAACACATACAGTCCAAGGGAAGGCAGCCAGTCAGCCAGGAAGTCAGCGTGCACAGTGGCTGGAGTCTTGAATTCTTCTTTTAACCCCTAAAATGAAGGGAAACCTTCAACATAGGTGTTTATGGGATCTAAAAAATTCAAGACTCCAGCCAGCTCAGAAAGACCTTGCAGACAGCAAGGCAGAGGGGTGGCTTTCACTCTAAATATGGTAGCTTTATTTTTAGACTGCTTTCTAAAAGGGATCAATTAAAAGTCAAGTTGGCCAACCTGAAATTTTCCAAGCTGGGAGATGGACCCTAGTTTTTAGTATTTAGGGTGGGTTTAGTAATAGGAGGAACGGATTATGCCACTATGCCACTGGATGATCTAGGAATTGAAGCCACCTGCCAGTGCATCATTGCCCAGAGGTCCCAGTGTTGAAGTCCCAACGGTCACTCGTGGGCAGGCCATTTTCATAGTAGAGTCTTGGCTGCAGTGGGTGATAATGGGTAATCATGCTGTTGAACAGTGACCAGTTCACCCTCTGTTCGAGTTCATTCACTACCATCTCGTGTGGGGATGTTGCACAGTCTGAAAGTTGAACATCATTTCAGGAAACTGAGAACTAACGAGTATCCAGGATGTCAATGAAGATTTTGGCCATATTTTCCATTTGGAACACTGGTCAAACCCTCGTCCAAGCTTTGCAGCTTATTGCTCCAGCGGTGCCATGAGCCTCAGAGTGATGTTTTCCGTGTCGAAACATGGCACAACTACCTTTTGGGCACACGTCAGAGCTGCTGGTGATTGTGAAAAATCACTGGTGTGACAGATGGCTCTCCAGTCGATTCAGCATGGTGCGGCTTGCACGAACTCACGTCTGAGGTCTTGGAATCTCATCCTGCCAGGAGTGAGTTCGTGCAAGCCGCACCATGCTGAATCGCCAAGTGGTCAACAATTCCCAACCGTCCCAAGCGCAGCCTCGTTGTTCGAAGCATGAACAAAGCCACGACTTTGGAGCAATGCCGTTTTCTTTCTGGTGCCAGTGCTGACAGAAACAAGACCAGAAAGGTCACTAGAGCAACGCTGTGTTGCTTGCAGGTCACAGAGGCTTTTTGGAACCTGGTCATTTGTTGCTGATGCTACGCGGCTGATTGTGAGTCCGGTGGCAGATTTGTAGGGGGATTTTGGGTGAATGCCAGCGTAAAAAAATGGCTGTGGCCAGTCGATCAATCAAAGCACCCTGTGTCATTCTCCGTGGAATAGGTTTGAAGTTGGAAATCATGTTCTTTTCTCAAAGACAATGTGAGACAAGCAATGCCATCAGTGAATCAGTGCAATCAGTGCAAGTTCTGAGTTTGGGATAGTCTTGGATAGTTTTGACGATATTTATTTGTTGCCATCTGGTGATGAGTTGTCGTGAGTTGATACTGGATACTCTGACTTCTGGGAAGATTTGGCAAACACGCAAAAATGCCACACCCGACTTATATTGGGAAGATACAACTATATATTACTCAAACGTCACGATCAGAATAAGATAATGATATAGTATAGTGACAGTATGATAGTATGTAGGTTTGCTGACATTTTGTCGTATTTCCAGGTTGACAAAATGTTGATGTCCGCTTTTTCGGTACTTAAAACAGCCCCAGCCCTGGTGAATGTGTGGTAGTGGATCTCTTCATTCTGGGGCCCCAAATTTGGGGGTATAGCGGGTTGATCTGCCTTTGCATTACAAATACTTTACAAATATTTTAAATTGGAGACAATTACCTAATACTTCCGGATACTTCATGAGACTTCAGCATACTTCATACTTCACATGCTTCAGCATATTTGTTTCATGCCATTTGGTGACCAGCCGGGAGAAAAAACATGTGGCCACATCTCCACAGGTGAACTTTGGGGAAGATGTCTCCCTTTGAACATGTCAGGATTGCATGGTTTGCAGAGCCAAAGGCCATTGAGATCTTGGAGTTTGAGTCCATGGAAGGAATCGCAACCACTAGGGATGGTATCAGGAAGGAGATGCTCAAGACTTCCACATATCGAGACTTCTTAACCAGCGCGTGTCTTGTGAGAAAATCAGATATGAATGGCACCCAGTCTGATGAGTCTGATGAGCTGTCAGGGCTTGGGGTCTCTGGAAAGAATGGCTCCTTTCTGGAGCTTCATCTGGCATGATGATCTTCAGGTGATATTCCGAAGGTATCACCAACCAAAGCCAGGAAGGTTTAAGCCCGAAGAAGGCATGCACTGCTATGCGATTTTATTTGATAATATAATACATAATCTATTATATATATATATAATATGTAATATATAATATATGAAATAAAATTATATATGATATTTTTAATATAAAACACATATATATATATAATGTATAAGATATATTTAATATAATAGTGAATATAATCTGTAATTTAAAATAGTATAATACATATTGTTTTAAATGCAATATAAACTTTATAATATAGTACATATATATATTATGATACATAATATGTATAATACCTTTTATATATAATGTAAAATAATGTATAATAAATACAATATCATACATATAACATTTAAAATTTGAAATACAATAACAATAAATAATATATATATTAAAACGTATGTAATACAACACACTTATATATATATATATTTATATAATATATTATATACAATATACTTCATAATATCATTTACAACATTTAACATATAGTATATATCATACACAATGAACTAAAAATAATATTAATATATGATATTTTTTTAATATTTAAACTGTAATAATAATGTATAATATATAATATTTATTGTATAATATAATATTTAATATATAATATATAATGTATAATTTGTTAATATATATGTGATGATGATGATGAACATTATGTAATATAACATATATATATATATAATTTGAAAATAATTTAACATATAGTATACAATATACTATTTAATATCATACATTATAGTTTACATATAATATATATATATATATATCATACATCATAAAAAAAATTTAATATAACATGCAAAATATATAATATATAATATATAATATATAATATTTAATATATAATATAAAATGTATTATATATAATACAGGCGTTGCCACAATTATAGAACCGAATTAGGAGTACAAAAGTACGGTAAAATACCGTACTTTCGTACTCCTCCGGATCCCTATTCCGCGCGGATTCGGATCCTGTTCTGTGATTAATTTGTGCTCCTGAACTTACGTTCCATAATTATTCCAGCCACCAAATAATATGATATAGAACCAAATAGAATATATCATATTATATTATACTTAAAATAAAACTAAAATAATATATAATATATAATGTCATATAATATATAATATATCATATATGATATAATATTATATTGATACGTATATACACATTTGTTTGTTTACTTGGGACCATGGAGCAGCACTCATCTTATCACAGCCCATGTTTTTGACACATGGTGTCAGCAGCCTACTGAGATCATGTACGACTTCTGGGAAGCCTTGATCGGTCGCATTAGTACCACTGCGGGAGGCCTCGTAAAGAGAGCCTTGGCGAAGCAAGGGGAGGGGGAGCAGGGCAGGGTTGTCCAAACATGGGGCAACAAGCGGGAAGCTGCATGGTGATCAAGCTTGATTTTTTGGATAGACACCATTTTGAAACAAACTATGTCATCCATTACCTGGAGTATCTACAGCATTTATGTTGATGAGGGAAATTTCACATTCTGCAGTGATTATCATTGATTACCAAACATGATTCAGGCATGAGAAATATGACAAACAACCCAGAGATTGAAATCCGACCCCCAAACTTTTTCACAGCGATTCAGAACCAGCCAAGAAAGTATATAGTAATTCAGTCGAGAAACGGATCCATTGTGATTCTGGATCCCCCTTCCAATGACCCAGTCGTGTTTCGCTTGGATTCTTCATGGACGGTGTATTTCTGGCCATAAGTGGAGGAATGTGATCTGTATCCCACCTAAACAACTGGATGAAAACACACGGATTGATTTAACAAATCTTGGGAAGAACCATGAAGAACCATGAATCGCTTTTCCGATTTTATCGGTGCATGGGGTCTGTGCTGAGGCCAATGGGCCGGCGTGAAGAACTTCCAGAATCAGCCCTTCGACGGGAGATAGGAACGCGCGCTGTATGGGTCGGCAGGCTGACTTGAAAGACGCTTCAATAACTAGAACTTATGCTATGTCTATAGTTATATATATATATACAATGGATTTATAAACAGCTTTAAAACCATGGAGTTTGTGAGTATACTCCATTTTGGTGAAATTTGTTGTTCAATGTTTAAGACCGATTAAGGGACCAATTAAGGATTACTGTAATTATTCAGATCCATGCGACCCAAAATTCCGGACCGCACCTGAATGGATCTTGTTCCTGCAAAGAATCTTTCTATTTTGACAACCAGGAGATGTTGGTTTTCTATGGTTTTCCCATCATTTCCATGGTTTTTCCATCTTTGATCCTACTGATTTCTCCTGACCAACCGACCAACGGATTAAAACAACATTGTTAGTGGGTTCTTCCACGTAACTTGTTTCCTTTCAACCTGACCTACTGTTTACAGACCAAAAGTGGTGTTTAATCCTTGTAAATAGCAAGATATCACCCACTGCTAAGGTTGTTCACCTTGGTGTCTTTGTTGGTCTTTGCCTATTCTCTTCACTTAGTGAAGCAGCCTGGCCTTTTTTAATGGGTGTTGGTGAGGCGGCTACGGGTGTTTGATCCGATTTGGGTGTTTTTAAAACGCCGTTTGAATGAGGAAAATGGCGGGAAAACTCCCCTGGGACGTTCCACTGGTTTCTGGGGTGCCGATTTTTTTTAGAACCAGACACCATAGCTGGGAGTTGCATGTGGTCGAAAATACTGGGGCTGTGAGAACAGCATAGCCAGTTCATCCGAGGTCAAACATATCTGAGGGATATTAGTGTACCTAGTCAGAGCCACACGAGGATCCCTAAAGTACAAGGCTTTTTTGAACAGGTTGCAAATGATACATTGGAGCATGGTTGATTCTTTCAATGTTCGTGAGGAATCTAAGACGGCGATGGATCACCATCACAGTAACTGGTAGAATCATGCTGAAGTGGGGGGGTGTTCTATGTAGCTGGAAATCAACATGCGCACGGCACCCTCAGCACCTGGTGAACCGTTGTAAAAATCTTCAATCGTCTCCTCAGAATTGATTTCGGGAGGTGAAAAGAGACATGAAACATCATGAACCACTGTAAACATATCTTGGAATATTGACCATTGTTGATAGTGATAGTTTCATGAAATCATATGACATCCACCATTTTCCATGCATTTTTTCGAAGCTCGAGATCTTGGAGTTTCTTCACAGGAGACATTTTCTCAACTTCAGTGACTTGGCGGCGAAATCACGACTGACTTCGACCGGGGAGTCGTGGTAGTCGATCTGTCATGAATTCATTTAAGCAACCGGTGAGATTCCCATGTATATACTATATATATATACACACACGCACACTATATACACTTTATAGATATGATAAATATGATATTCTATATGATGATACACTTATATAATATGATATATATATGTATATATGTATATATGTGCATGTATGTACATACAAGTGTATACGATAACATCCAAACAAATGACAGAGTTACCATCACAGATTCAAAATCCAACAAAAAGGAGGTGCACCCCGCAATCAAATCATGGCTTTGCTGCTGAAAATAGACATATGTTCTTTGGAAACAAGTAGCCAGTCCAAGGCGAGGCTTTCACCATCCATGGGATGATAATCTACAACTCTCATGGATCTTATGGATCAATACCGATTGATCCATATGTTTTTTTTTGGGGATTGATGAAGATCCACAAATCGATCCATAACTCCCAGCTATTTTATCACCCCCTTGGCCCCAGGCTGGAGAAAGATGCTCCTCATCACAGGAATTGTCCCTCGGAAAACGGCCTGGGTCTTTGTTTTTTGGTTTTACCGGGTGTTTATGTCTGTGGTTAACATCAGTATCATGATAAGCATCATCATTCTTATTGTTGTTGCTTTTGTTACCTTTTGTGACATTATTTTTTAAATACGATGATGATTTCATGAGTAGAAGAAACCAATAATGGGATATGATACTATAAATATACAATTATAATTACCCATTACTATATTACTTCTGCGTAGAAATGGGATGATGATCCATAATTACTTATCCATTACTAAAAATGGCAATGTTCCATAGCTATGTTAGTCATTACCAGAGGGTATATCTCATTAAATTACCAGTAAATCCCACTAAATTCCATTAAACCACCATTAAACCACCATTAAACCACCATTAAACCACCATTAAACCACCATTAAACCACCATTAAACCACCATTAAACCACCATTAAACCACCATTAAACCACCATTAATAGCAGAGTTGCCAGTTGGATTGTCAAAGCACCAGACACATAGCGTGTCTATCGTCGCCGGCGCTGAGATTCTGAACCTGTTGGATGTGCCATCCTTAGCTGATGGATATCTGCAGCCATCCATCTCCATCTTTTCTAGCCAAACACTGAGGATATTAAGTGACTACAGTCACTCTGTATCTCATGTTTTTTTTTTAATGATGTTTTATGGATTTTGGATTTTGGATTGCTATTATCTTTGGATGTGCCAAATTTGTGTGTGTGTGTGGAAGACATCGCATCAGTCCTGATCTCAACCATTTGGCCATGAGGCAACTCTGGCATTGTGCACCACCTATGACGTGGCGGCTTGCTGAGAACGGAGACATTTAACAGCAGCGCTCATCTGGTTCGAATTACGTATTGGGCAATTCAGCACTTTATGTTTTGCCATCAATGGAAATATGATGGCCAGCTTTTTTTTGCAGGGTGTTGAAAATGCCAATGATGGTAGTTCGTTGTGGGATTCTACTCGTAGGAAAGTTCAGGGATTATGGGTGACAAAAACATACTCAGTACTTCTCGAGAATTTTCTGACCAAGAATCTCACTCAGGTTCCTGATTCACCTGTGGTCAGAGCATGTCAGACCTCAAAACAAAGACTTTACCATGGCTTCGCAGTCCCCCAAGTCGAGCTCTCCGATCTGCTGGTTTGTAGCTCTTACCTGCCCTTGCAATACATGTAGATATAAAATGATATATATACATATAACATCAGAACAGATCATATTATATATATAACATATATGAATTATACACTACTTTCCAACTCCGATTTATCTGGCCTAACCAAGCAGTATGTGGAGTCATCGATGCATCTTCCCCACTGCTTGGTAGTCTGATTTTTTTCGTCACCTCCCACATTTGCATCCATTTTTTACAACCAGTATTCAAAAGGCCCCTGGATTTTTCCATGGGGAGGTCAGAAACCAATACTTCTACCTGGGAGAGACGATTCTGGATGAGATTCCCGCGGCCGCCAATTTCGTCCCCTGGCAGCTACAGCACGGTGATCTCGTGCAAATTTCCTAAAATGACAAGGCAAACCAAGCTGAATTGCGAAAATCTGCTGAAAGATAATAAGATATAATAAGATATTCACATCTGTATACATTTGTATACATTTGTCCATTTCCAACTTGGCTCTTCCTGTTGGAGCAATTACTTTCCACTTGTCAAGAGCTGCAGTCTGTTCAGGCGGTTCGGGTGGAATTTCACCGCCTATACATTCTGTAGATTCCTTCAAAAGAGGGAGGGGAACCACAAAAGAGATATTCTTGGTTTCGTTTCCACCCAACGAAAAAATATTATGTAAAGATAAAATTGCAAGATGATGTTCCACTGATAGTTTATGTATATATGTATGATGTTTTCCGGTTGATGTTTCATCCCAACAATTGGTTCATTGTTGCTCGCCTTCCCAAAAATGTGGGTTTGCTTGAACATAGGGTACCCCCAAATGCGATGGTTTACTAGCATTTTTCCCTGGTAAAAACTACGTGAAAAAGCATACCCCAAGTTCAGAGACACCCACATATTCTAATAAGTTGGTTATATATATATATATATATTACATTCATTCTTTTCCCAACACATTTTGTATTTTTGTTGGTTCATCATGCTTCATGATTCATTACTGTCGAATATTTCTGTTGGTTCATCCCTGTTAAAACATCCTGTTGGTTCATATCATATTAATTTGGTTATATATTACTATATATATATACACATATAATTACATTTATTAATACATATATATATAATTATATGTATTGATATATATATATATATAATTATATATATATATATATATTATATATATATGTTAATATATGTAATTATCTACATATTTATGCGTATATAATTATACATTATACTATAAATTATATCCCCAACAAATTCTATATTTCTGTTGGTGACTGTGAAAAGCCATCTTTGGTGACCAGGTCGTGGGAACCTTTATCATTGTCGAGATGGCTGATAAGGTGCTGGCAGCTGAAACAACAAGGGCTGAAAAAAGAACTAAAAATGTTGGCAAGTTAAGAAAGATGCTGTGGATTTCCGAAAATATGATCGACATTTGTATGTTATACGTCTCTCACATATATATATATATATGTATATATGTATGTATGTATGTATGTAGGTAGGTATGTATGTATGTATGTAGGTAGGTATGTATGTATGTAGGTATGTATGTATGTATGTAGGTAGGTATGTATGTAGGTAGGTATGTATGTATGTATGTACGTAGGTAGGTATGTATGTATGTATGTAGGTATGTATGTATGTATGTATGTATGTATGTATGTATGTATGTATGTATGTATGTATGCATGTTTTTTCTTGAAACAGCTTTGAACATAGCCAACTGACCAAGAATTGTCGGTGTTGAACAAACACTTTGCCTAAGATGATGATCCCTGGCGATCTACATGGGTATTTTGCAGGGTGCTAACATCACCAGCTATATGGATGTAATCCATCAAATTGGGGAGACAACCTGATACAGCCATCAATGAGGGAGTTGGTTGATTTGTCAAGTTGATGGCTTAGAATGTACTGGCGGCTCCAGAATGACAACAAACCATGTCTCCTAGGACCCCGCTTGTGGTGTCAGAGATATGATCCCTGCAACGTGGTGCCCCAGAGTTATAGCCTTTGTTGGTTTTATAAGTCCAATAACATAATAACTAGGCCCAGGTGGTCGATGATTCTTTTTGGTTCTTGCGGATTGTTTATGCAACTTACTGGGAGGCGCCACTCCGCTGTGCCAGGGGAATGAGGGGTTGACCTACGGCCTTTTCACCACCGTTTCGAATTTGGGAACACCATTCTCCCGAGCCATCGGCAATCAGGCCAGGGGAGACCCGAAGACATATGAAGACACACACACACATTAATGCAGAGATGTTACCCTTCAGTAAACTAACATAGCTATGGAAAATGGACCATTTATGGAGATGATTTTGATTTACCTATTGAAATGATGTTTTTTCATAGCTATGTCAAATTACCAGAGGGTATGATAAATTAATGATTCTTGAGTATATATAAACGTAACCATCCTAACCAGTGGAAAATACAAGGCATCCAAGAATGGCTGTGTGTTGGAGGGTGGGACTTGAAGACTTTGTGGCTTCAGGGTTATTTGTTTTGGTGTAGGATGTACAGATGTGCACTAAGTATATATTCAACTAAGTATTCAACTTTTGCTTTGAGGTGGTATTTTGTTTTCTTGCCATGGGTTTGAAGCCAACATTCTCAAGTTCTCAGCAAGATTCACTCGGGAAGTCAAAGATTGAGCCTGCCCAAAAGGCTGAACGTTTCTTTCGTTTCAGAGACTTTCATCAAACTGCGATCTGCGGTAGCCTTTCGATAGTCAACTGAATGTCTAGTTGTATAGGACACCTTGAAATCCAATTTGCCAATGGTTTGTAAGTATAACATAGTATAACCCATTTCTGGACAAACCCAGTTTCGGGATATAGAAGAACCCCCAGAAAACCCGCATTTTTGGCGCTTAAAATATGGTCTTCTGATGATTCTGTAGGTTTTGATTGGTGTAGACCAAAGGAGCAATGACCTTTGTACACTGCATTACACTGCTATTTCTTGATACTTGTTGGCTATGGCTTCACAGCCGACGCTCGATCCGTCGACATGCTGAGATTTTCGGCCTGTTCCAACCCAACTTGTCCGATTCGGAGAACTACAAGCAACTTGGACCTCGTTGTTTAAGGAGAGGTTGGATGACTATCCTACTCCTGATTTATGGATATATAGATATATATGGTATTTATAAGGGTGCCCAAAAGGATAAAGAAATTTTTCCAGGATGGTATAGATTAGTATAAATTACATGTATATGTTCACTTGGATAACTCATGAATCTGGTGGTTTTCGACAATGGCAGTGTCTGAAGATGGTGATTTTACTCAAAGACATTGCTGTTCAAATAGGTTTATTTGTCATCATGATTATTCAATGGATAGAATGGCTTGAGAAATATGTTTTACTTCCATCTCTGTGTAAGCTCATGATAATCCCCAATAAGGCACTCATATCCCGATTGAAGCCATGTCCCAAGAAAGAACCCCATGTTTTTGTGAATTACCTCCCATTCTCAACGTGGCTCACCCACCACCCCGGAGGGACAAGGTAGACTTTCAATCGGGGAGAGGACCGGGACTTAGTTTTTCTGTTGGTTTTCGGATGAATGACAATTCCCCCACCAATGCAGAACAAGGTATTCGTACTAGACTTTCAAAACTGGAATGAAGAGGACCGTTGCTTAGATTTTTCCGATGAGAAATGACCATTGGCTTGAACCTGTAAGCGCGCATGTCGTATATTGACCTCGGTGAACAGTACGTTCCTATGGTTGTCATACCCTCACCTTCATTGGTTTGAACATGTTTGAAGCATCAACCACATCAACTGTCATCAACTTACACTCCTTATTTGTGCTGTTTATATTGTATTCCAATTACTTCTCATTCATATCGTATCCCTAAGAATATCACATACAATCAAACATATACATAGATACAGAATGTTTCCATTAGATCCATGCCTTCCATGTTTTCCATATACATATATATATAATATGATGTTCTATTACTGTATGCCTCCATTTGTATACTTATATAATCTTTATGTGTATATGTTCATGTATAATGTATATATATATGTATACATGCAGTACGTACATATACATGCGTAATACATATATTCATGTAGACATACACACAGTATACAGTATATATATGTATAAACAGTATCCATTATATATATATTATATCTATCTATATATACATATATATGTATAGGATGCATATCCCATGTCCGTTCATCTTTTAAAGCCCCTGCTGCCCATCCCCACCATTTCCGTTCACCACGAGGCTGGACACCCTGGAATTCCGTCACACCGTGGCCCGGTCGTGACCCGGCTTGATATGTTTGGGTGGTGTAACCTGAACACAAACGAAGATATGCCCTCTCCGAGCTAAGATAGATGTGCAAAACCCATCATGTGTAGGTCATTTTCTTAGAGAAACCATGGGTTTTCATTGTTTTTCCACATTTGTTTATATGATTACTAGGGTAATAGGTTCATGTAGATCCAATCTGTTGGCTTAAACCATATCGATCCTCAGTTTTGATGGATGGGAAGGAACCTTGACAGCCTGGACAACGGGAGAAAGAAGATGACAATCGCTTGCAATGGCAGGGTACTTCATTTTCAGACACATCTAAATTGATTCCAACACATACACGGACATATTAAATACATATATACATATGATATAACATATATATATATATACAATCAATTACAATTATGTATATATTTCTATAAATATATACATATATCAATATACGTACATAGTATAGGATAGTATATGATATTCTGCCATTGTTGCGAATATTCGGATAACAGGTTTCGGTTTCCATGAATAGCGGCGTCGGTTTTGCCCCATGGGGACTGGCATTTTTGGGCGAAGTACTTTAATCTTTTGCTATCAATGGTAAAATGTAGAAACCAGCTAAAATTAGATTTTTGGCGGGTATCTAAGATTCAGCATGGAAGCAATCACCAGTTTTGTTGTGTCTATCTCCCCAATAAATGGAGATTATAATGATTGAATGGGTGATAGTTAATGGGGATTGCTCAAACATGAAATAGGGATATAGCATGATATAGCCCATGATTCTAGCTCCAAGTTGCCCAAATTTAGAAAATTTACCTATACCATGAATCCATCGTACTCCAGACCTGTCTCTTTGGACAAATTGTTTCCCCAACCTGTTTCCCTGTGTGTGACATGTTTCATACCTGTGAATTGACTGGTTGCGGTGGGAAGACCTTTCAGCTCAATTTGGAAATTGTTTGGCACCATGTCGATGCCTTGTGTTGTTCCTGAAATGCTATGGAGCCTGGATGAGCTAAAGCGTGCCCTGATAAGTGAGTTTCCCATTTTGGAGACTGAAGTAGGAGAGGGTTTCAAAATATTGTTTGACTTATTTGTTGAATGGGCTGAAATCCTGTTAAACTTTGACAACCAGCATCCGCTCTGTTGAATTTGGGGAATTGTGGCCCAGAATCCTTCTCTCAGGGGATTTCCGGCCGCGCATACTCATGTGGCATCGCACTCGAGCGGTGTCATCGCACTCCAGAGGACCCCATCGCCCTCCACATACATACTCACAGATCTTCGTACTCCACAAAAGGCATCGTATACCCAAAAAACCTACGCAGACAGCCAAAAAGCATTTTTTTGAAAAAATGAACCTGAAGAGTTTTTTTTATTTTTTTTCTCTTCGGAGGTAAAATGCTCTGGAATATGATAATATGGAATATGGGGGAAATCGTTGTTTTTCCAGCGTTTTGAAGAGTCGGGCATACAATCGTATTCCATGAAATTTTGATACTTTAGACCTGTGGAGGCTATGGAAATCCTCGGTTGTGATGTTAGTCGTGCAGGATGGAGTGTGATGCTTTGTGGGTATATGGAATGGAATTTCTGACCCCAATTTGATCAAAACAGATGTCAACATATGCTTGAGAATCCCACATGCAGGGCTGGCAACGCATACCATGGGGGCATCGTACTCCAGGGGTGGCATCCTACTCAATGTAACTGTATTAAGTGGAAATATGGTACCATTCGGGTTCGAGGAAGAACAGCGAAATCCAGACTTGGCCCAGTTTACGGATGCGGAAGCTGAACCGCTAGCCAAACGCGTCAAAAAAATAAGCTGCACAGCTTATCCAATGGTCTTAAAAGATCCTAGAGAGAAGTTGATGATTGATGAGAGAAGCACAAGACTTTATGTTTTTTCAATAAAGCATTGTTTGAGAAGATGTGGACTCAAAGGATCTTAGCGGGGTTAAACATGTGCGATTGGACATGACAGCACGTGACAAGGGAAAAGAGGCGCCTGACAAGGGTCACACAACTTCATTCTCACCATCAAAAGTCGTTCATTATTTTCCAAGCTTCCGGAGCTATTTTGGTATGGAATATGAACAGCCTTGGAATATGGGTAAGATTGTGCTAGAATGATTATAGAAAACACAATGAATCACATGTTTCAGAGTTGAAACCACCAACCAGATGTATCAGCATCCAAACAACTTAAGCAAGCAGGATTTGCAGGATTTCAAAAAACTTGTGGAAAACCACTGAGGTTCCTTCTGAGTTATGCCTTCTCCTTTGCGTCCTTCCTGCTGCTGGTGCTTCTGCCGTATCAAAAGCAAGAAGCGCAACGGAGGCGCCCTGGGAGCTCACGTCACAACCGTCGCGACATCACGAGGGCTTTACGACGGTTAGTAGGGATAGCAGATTGAATGGAAACTGAAGTTTCAGCCAATTTCATTTGGTTCGGTCCATGGTGTTTTGACCACAATCCTCAGCAAATCTGGAGGCTTGTAGTTGCAATCTTTCAATTGGCCCATGTGGATTAATTACCAAAAAAGTCCTTGTAATCCAAAATGATTCGAAATTTGTTCGAATTTTGGCGGGTCACGTTTTCACTTTTTTCTTGTTGGGGATCTCGATCAACAATGCTCAAGGCCAAATAGCCCGTGAGAGCAGTTTCAACCCCAAATGTCGTGCCATGGTCAAAAGCTGGATGAATCCATAAAGGGAGATCGGTCATAGCATCATTTTCGGTGATAACTTGAAACTTTCCTACATCTTTTTGGGAGGTTGGGATTCCCATGGTCATGGCTGACATTTTTGCACCATCTAACTTGACTTGGCCAGGAAAAGAGAGTGGTCCCGACATCCGATCTTTGGCCTCTTGGCAGCCACTGTTGTTCCATCCGTTCCATCCCGAAGCTCTGAAAAATCCATCCCCAACCTCAATCCATTGAACGTCATCTATTTGTTTCTTTCAATTTTGATCCTATACTTCTACCCCCTCGGTTGATACTTAGACTATCTTAGACTGGTTTTGATGGTGAAACAATCCCCATGTACAGGTCAGTCCACCTGGGGTGGAACGGATCAACAGAAATCCAGAGCTCAGGTTACATCACCTGTGGTTTGGTACTCTTCGCCTTCATCTACGCCATGACAGCCACCTGGATATGTCTGACCAGAAATGGTGCATTTTCGGGCCGGAGAAGCTACAGTACAATGAACATTGGGAGGTGTGTCTAGGTCAAGGTTTCAATCGGAGAGATACACAGCTTTGTTGATTTGGTGTTGATGTATCCAACATACTGCATACTTTTTGGCTCCAATTTCTTGTTCATACCTGTTTGGTGACGGAATCTCTGACCAAACCAAACCCACCTTGGCAGCAGTTCGACGCGACATTTCTATGGAAAAGCGGGTGATGCTCATGAATTACGTATATAGTAAACCCAATAATAAACGCAGCAAACCACTTGTTCGTCGCGTATTACATCATCCCAAATAGGGGCAAAGACCCAAACAGTTTGATCCAATAAGGGATGGTGAATTATTGGGTCCCTTGGTAGAAGTGTATATATTTTTGGACGCCCACATCCACTAGAAGGAACCCTCTTTCAATGCAAGATGACCTCTCCCTCCAAAAGGGCGTAGAGGTTTGTGGCATGAGTTTTGTATTTTTGCGTGCTTTTGTGATCGGATTGCCATTACATGTCATCATCAGAGTGTTATACTGATCCGTCTGCACAATGCAGCATGTGCTTGTTAGTCATCAGCTTGTTAGTCATCACCTCGTTTTCCAGGCTTTGTATTCTTTTTTTGCTCCCAAGAACAGCATTCCCGAGAAACGTAAAAACCGTCACTAATATGGGGGGTGCCCTGAGGTGAATTTCATGACAATGATCCCTGAGACTGCATGTTTGGCCCCTGGAGCATGGCTTGCATGGCTTGGGATTGGCAAGCTATAGGTTTTAAATGGAGGTTTCTTGAAATGGGGGTACCCCTGGTTATCATCCCATTAAACTTTTTCGGATTTTCCCTGAACTAAACCATCCTGCTATTGGGGTACCCCATGATTTATGGAAACCCCTGGATTTCACATGCTTGAACCTGGAGTCCCTAGACCTAGACCTTCCAAAATTTGGGGACCAATCTGTTCTTTTAGTTTTCGGCTGACTTTAGGCGTGATCAGCTTACAGTTTGGAGTATTAACCCTGAACATAGCTAAAGCACGTGACATCATTTATCTCACTGGCTCGCTTACAAGCTTGGTACCTGGTAGCGTAATGTGTTTCTCTGGAAAATCGAAAATACTGTTTCTACCGCTTAGTCTTATGGAAACATAAGATTCAGAAACATGTATATAAGTTTAACATGTTTAACGCAACTTTTCTGCGTTGGAACGGGAGAGAAAATCCAGAGAAGACATTCTCATGGGAACTTTCGATGATAAGTTTTCATGCCGGGGGCATCCCTTAATTGGCAAAGATACACCATACATTATGTCCTTTTCTTGTTTGGGTAGTTGGTTGATCCTTTCTGTCAATGGTCACTTCTTGGTTGTAAGTGCACTGACCGGGAAATCCGTGTCCAACTGGGTCGCGGTCTCCACTATCATCGGTCTGTGTTTTTTTGCGTTCTATGTATGTTCATTTTTGGAGATGACATTCCATGTTTGCACAACCAACAAACAGAACAGACAGAGCAAACAGAACAGAGCAAGGATACAGATACACCCAGGGTATGGAATAATAGACTACTAAATACTATACAATAAACTACAATGCGTTCCCCAGTTCTTTAGCTACTGTAAGTTGGTTGAAGTAGTTACGCCATGTTATGCCATCAAATGGCTTCATGGTGAATATATCGAACCAGTTGCATGGGTGAACATAAATCGTCTTATACCGTGTGTGACCGTGACCCATCTTGTGAGTGGTAAACCTAACCCCCTTGTATTTGGTCGGGGGTTCGCTTGGAGCGCCGAAAAGTGGATCGCTTAGAGCGCCGGAAAGTGGATCGCTTGGAACGCGGAAAAGTGACACAAGAGATACATAGCGCATCATAGCGCTAGAGTTCCATATACGCAGAGGCATATAGACACATAAATGGATGCATTCATATGTCGCTGAAGCACGCGATAACATTCAATGCGATCCGCTTTTCGGCATTACTTGACGAAGAAACGTATCAGGAACGTCTTGCAAGTTACTTGACGAAGATGTTACAACGTATCAGGAACAGCCGGCACGTTACTTGAAGAAGAGTTTTCAACGTATCAGGAACGTCTTGCAACTTACTTGAAGAAGATGTTCCAACGTATCAGGAACATCTGGCAAGTTACTTGAAGAAGATGTTACGACGTATCAGGAACATCTTGCAAGTTACTTAAAGAAGATGTTACAAGGTGGGTCGGGTCCTTTCCGTTGCGTAAGGCCCCGCGGGCCCGTAGAGCCCGTAGAGCCAGGGCCCGTAGGGCCCGTGGAGCCCGTGGAGCCCGTAGAGCCCTTAATGGGCATAAGGCCCGTCTTTCTTACAGTATATCCGACACGCACCGTGGCTCTTTCTAGCCGACGTATATATGAAAAATCTATCTGACATTGTACCTGGCATTTTTCTGACATATATTCTGATATTCTATCAGGCAGTCGTTCTTGCAGTATATCCGACATGCACTCTGGCTCTTTCTAGCCGACGTATATATGAACATTCTATCTGTCACGTTAGGGTATACATAGAACGGCGTGACCGTGACTAGATTTGTAGCTGTTGAGCGAGCGTAGTGACCCGTGTTTTTCCATGGGAGGCTTTAGGGTGGGAACTTTATTATTATTCACAAAAGTAGCAGGGCTATGACCATTTTTGGTTGCACCAAACGCCCTCTCTTTCTCATAAGTCCCCGCGCCCTTCGCGTAGTATAGCGCAGCTATACGAAGGTGATCTTAATGTAAAACGTCTCACGCATGTGGGAACAAATGCATGTTTTTGCGTCGGATGTTCGTTGTGTTCAGAATGATTTTTTCAAGAAGTGGCAGTGCCGTATGGTAATGCACAGATGATTCAGAAACATCTGGCCTATGGAGCGTAGAAAAAGACATCGAAGTCCTTGGATAGATCTCAGCATCCCCTTCCCCAGTAACGAATGTATTCGTGACAGACGTTCAGATGCTCCTGTGATGTTAGCATGTTTTTGCTGTTCATATCACAACATCCTTGTGGCTTGTAGCTTGTCCGTTGTCATGCTTGATGTGGTGAGTCCAAACAGACAAGAGACCAGCGCTTCATCTAAAAAAGAGGTCTGTTTGCTGCCGTGTCAAACAGAAATCGTTTTCCAGAGACTTGCGAGAGCTTCCCACAGAATCAGTATCTTTATGTATATGTCTTGCTATTTTTCAAGTATAGACGTATATGTATATATATATATGTAGAGTATCTATATCTAATTATAGTTAAAGATACAGATACTTAGTATTGTTAAATACTAGTGCATCCAATATTCTCTGTAAAAAAAAGTAGTAATTAAGCCCGATACTTTGCCATTTGGGTTATTGACAAATGTTTTTTTTGATCGTTGGGTGTATCTGTTGCTTACCGTATGAATCAGCATTTTTTGTTGCCTTCCGCTCAGGTCTGGAGAATTTCACTTTCTTTTTTGAAACTTTTGAATACGTTCGAATCTTTCCATTCTTCTGTAACCGTAAGGCCCGTAGAGCCCGTAGTGCCCGTAGAGCCCGTAAGGCCCGTAGGGCCCGTAAGGCCCGTAGAGCCCGTAGAGCCCGTAGAGCCCGTGGAGCCCGTTGTCGTTCAGAAGGGCTCTTCTCTGCAAGGTAGCAGGCACGTCTTGCTTGTTACTTGAAGAAGATATGACAACGTATCAGGAACGTCCTGGAAGTTACTTGAAGAAGATGTTACAACTTATCAGGAACGTCTTGCAAGTGACTTGACGGAGATGTTAGAACATATTATCCGGAACGTCTTGCAAGTTACTTGACGAAGATGTTACGGCGTATCAGGAACGTCTTGCAAGTTACTTCAAGAAGATGTTACGGCGTATCAGGAACGTCTTGCAAGTTACTTCAAGAAGATGTTACAAAGTATCAGGAACGTCTTGCAAGTCACTTGACGAAGATGTTACGACGTAGCAGGAACGTCTCGCCTGTGTGTGCACAGGAACATGAACGTTATTACCCCACCCCACCCCACCCCACCGGTAACTGATCATGAAAGAGCAGTGCAGTGCCTGTGTCTGCAGGACAGCAAGAAAGATGATGAGGTTGCTGTGCCTGACTCCACGTCCCAGCCCCATGTCCCCAAGTGTTACCCCAAAGGTATGATTCTCTGGTGCTCTAAGTGATCCACTTTTTTGGTGCTCTAAGTGATCCCATGGTGCTCTAAGTGATCCCTTAACCGGTATTTGGGGCCCTGGTTCTGAGGGCCATTTCCGGTAAAGTGGAGCGTATGAATTGACAGCACAAAAGGATGTATCAACCACTAGGTGGATGTAACAACGAGATGAATAGCAATGAATCCCAGAATGAATGGAAGGAGTCCTAGAATTCATGAGAAAAAATACAGGAACCCCCTTGAAACTCATGTTTTTTTGCTTTAAAACAATATGGTTTCCGGTTTTCCCAACAAAACCCACCCGTCACCACGAGTTTGTTGTGAGGCTTGGAGCTGGTTGGTGGCAGTGGCTGCTGAAGGCTAAGGCGGATGATCCAACGCTTCAGTTGGCGAGTTGGCATAGTTCATCTGGTATCTACTGTCTATTATACGGATTAAATTTGGACAATTTTCATGGATAATTAATGAATAATCAGTGGATAATTATTGCTTTACCCTTTGGTAATCCAAAGTGGCTGGAAGATCCCCGATTGTCCAGCAAGCCACGTTGGAGTGACGTAGGGTCGGTATAATTAATGTGGATAAAAAAATAATAAGCCACCCATGACACGGGAATGGTAACCATACCACCTTTTTATGGTGATTTAGAGGATGGTTTATTATTGTTTTACCCACATTATTGTGATACACAGTGGCTTGGGTTGACAATGGTACGTAACCTGCCACTTTAGGCGACTTTAAGACTTTAAGACGGAACATCTTCGAAACATAATGATTATATATTATACGATGATTGATTTGCGGCTTTAAGGTATTTTATTTTCAGGCAAACCCATATATATATATATTATACGTACATACGTGGGTAGTAAAGGATCAACATGCCAGTTGATGATAAACAAGCATTCTGTTTAACATATATAATTACATACATGATGATTCATGTTTATATTATTTTATATTATATTATAGTAAATTATGTTCTATTATTTTATATTATTTTAAATTGTTTTATATTATTTTATAAGATTTTAAATTATTTATATTATATATATATATTGTATATACATAAATATAAATATATATCTATATTGTATATATACATATATATATATATTGTATATACATATATATATATTTATATGTATATATATATATATATCTCACGAAAGGTAGCTCCAGTGGTGCTACCTTGAGTTTTGCTTTACGAAGTAAACCACAATTACCTGATTATTCAGGAGGTTGCTGTTCATTTTAGATACCCCCCAACCACCCCCCCCTCCACCAAGTAACAAACCCGAAAATCAGACCCAAACACTGTAATTGACATGGGTTTTGTAACTCTTGCATGGAACAATCAGTTCTTGCAACATGCCGAAAACTGCGCAAATACCAGTGTTCTTGCTCGGTGCTGTCCAAAAAACACTGTAAATACCGTGGTCTTGGGCTTCTGAGGCGCAAAATACATCCGTATTTACCGTGTTTTTTGCTCCGAGAGTCTCAAAAAAACGCGAAAACACAACCTATTTGACGATTTTCGGCCACTACGAGACTGAGAAAAAATCTGCAGGGGTAACAACAACAACAACAGCAGCAACAACAACAGCAACAGCAACAGCAACAACCAACAGCCAACAGCCAACAGCCAACAGCCAACAGCTAACGCGAACAACCAACAACAACAGCCAACAGCCAACAGCCAACAGCCAACAACAACAGCCAACAACAACAGCCAACAACAACAGCCAACAACAACAGCCAACAACAACAGCCAACAACAACAGCCAACAACAACGGCCAACAACAACATCCAACAACAACAACAACAACAACAACAGCCAACAACAACAGCCAACAACAACAACAACAACCACCAACAACCAACAACCAACAGCCAACAACCAACAACCAACAACCAACAACCAACAATCAACAACCAACAATCAACCATCAACCATCAACAATCAACAATCAACAATCAACAGTCAACACCCAACACTCAACACTCAACACTCAACAATCCACAATCAACAATCAACAATCAACAATCAACAATCAACAACAACAACCACAACAACAACAACAATACTGTGTTTTTTGGCATGTCAGGCGCCAACAACATGGAGATTTGTGGTGTTTTTTGTACCGAAGGTTTTTTTAAATTTGGTTAACGCGGCCAACATGACGCCTTGTGGGGCCCTGCGCGCATCACCGCCATCATCAACAACGTAACGACAGCACGCATTTGAATTTGATTCTTTCATTGTTTCTTTCATTGTTTCTTGCGATTTCGCTGTGGTGACGCATTTTGCACCGATACGCTTCTACAAACAGACGACGCACAGAAACCTTTGCACAGAGCAACTTTTATGCGCAGATACTCTTACACAGAGAGGTTGTGCGCAGATTAACTTTTACGCGCAGACGCCTTTACACACAGAGGCTTTCACGTAACGAAATGTTTACACAAAAGTTTTTACACACCGATGTTTTGCACAGAGGTGTTTTTGCACACATAATAAAGGCACACAGGCGCTTTTACACACAGAACCTTTTATACAGAGAAACTTTTGCACAGAACAGTTTTTACACAAAGAAACTTTTACACTGGAAAACTTTGACCCAGAAAAAAAATTGTCCACACAAACTGCACAAAAAAAATACACACCGAAACTTTCACACGCAGACACTTTACCCAGAGCAATTTTTACACACATTTTTTTTCCGCCCAGAAGCCTGTACGCACAGAAGTCTTTCTGCACAGCAGTTTTTACACAGACGCTTTTACACACAGATGCCTTTACACAGAAACACTTTTACACACAAAAAATTGTGCACACAGCACGCTATTTTACACACAACCAGTTTTTACACGGAAATGTTTTGCTTCCCCTTCATCGTCACCTACCTTTCGTGTTCCCCCTCTCAAGTATATTCAAGTATTATTTATATATTATATATATTATATTATATTATATTATATTATATTATATAATACAATATTTTATTATATTATATTATATTGTATTGTATTATATTATGCATGAATGCCTGTAATACCCTCAAAAATTGGGTTTGAACCGAACCCTGAACGCAAACGAAATGTATCGAAAATTTCCTTAGTTACCAACCAACATACTGCAATATGCATATAGATTTTAATGTGGAACGTGCTGCTGAACTATTGGGTTTTGGAGGTACTTCAGACAACATAGATGTATAGGTAAACAACATATTTTGTGGATAAAACCATGCTTGTGGGAGAAACAAATCCAATCATGAACCCAAGTCAGCAGTAAGTTTCTGAGGTCTTTGGACCCATAACTAAGAAAACTTGTCTCGGGATTCTCTGAAGCAATTCACATTTTGAAGTCAGTAGAACTTTGAGTCACATTTTACATGTATTTGCACTGAATTTGGGTTTATACACGTACATGCACATGTCATATATTTTGCATACTACATGTTGTGCAGTGTTTAGACATAATTACTCTACAATGTCAGTATGTCATGTCAAATTTTGGGATCATGAAACCTACAGATTCCATGGCTGTTCTTGGAACATTCAGCCATACCGGCTATACCCCTACATATATACATATATACACAAACATATGGAAGTCCTTGACCGGGAGCCACGTCGGATATTGCTATAGAAATGCAATAAACTAACCTTGATCGCAAAGCACCATTGATGTCAACCCACACCGAAAAAAACCTAGCAAATTAGTGCAGTTGCTCGTTCCTTTTCGTATATCTTTCTTTTCCCGGGATGATGATCCCCAATTGGTAATCGTATTTATAGTAAATATAATATATATATATACATATGGATTCAAACCACTAGATACAAAAAAAATAAGGGAATTTCTGTAAAGTAGCATTGCCCTAAACTCAATGCATCGAGTGTATATACTATTTGCTGGTGAATTCCATCTTTCATTCACGGTAACATCCCCATGTTGAAAAAAGTACCGCATTATTTTGCCAAAAGACAATACTATAAAGCAGCAGAGTCAACATGACAACAACCCTTAAACAAATTGTAGAGATAGACACTTAGGAATTGCGATTGACTACAATTATCATATAAATATATGAAATTGGTGACTTATCACGATTCAGCCATATACATATCAATAATAAACATATTATTCAAACAAAACGTATGGCGTACAAATACATGTTAATGTGTAGTAGTTTGTTCTTCCTTTTTACAAAGAAGGAGAGAACTAGAACACACATGCACCATGATTCTTCTTTTTTGATGATTACCCTGGGGTAGTCTAACTGGAAATCATCTATGCCATTTATGAATGATTCTTCAATCCACGAAAAAAAACAAAAGCATCTCATTGTCATGTTTAGTGAGTTAAGTTATACTGTCGTTCAAACGTCCATTCTTTGCTGGTCAAATGATGCAATTTATGCAAACCTGTACCTTCCATTGATGAACGGTGGATTAATATTGTTTTTTTTTTGTATACACTTGCTGATTCTTGAGGTGGATGCGCGCAGATCTACCATGGTGCGGGCAAGAATCCACCATTGCTGTGATGTTTTCTTTTTGCAGCTTGGACTATTTTTGTTTTGGCCTTAGGGTCCCTTAGGGTCCAAAGGTTTCTTGGGTTGTCCACTCTCAGCCGGAGTCTAAATCTTCAGCTGGAGTCAGCATTGGGCAGCGGAAAATGTAGTGCAGCTGAGAATCGCATAGCAAGAGGCTCTCTGAAAGGAAGCTTTTTGTGCACGGGGAAAAAAAGGCTGTCTGGATGAGAACACCAGCTGAAATTAGGTTGAGTTTCCATCACGACATGGAGGAACGCAACAAGCCACTGAGTTTCAGTAAAATTATATAAGTAAAATTATACACAATTTGTTTCTTTCGTTGGAGAGTGAAGGTTGGCCAGAAGATGGGTTGGTGAAACAACCAGGTTCCATCAAATTTCCCATGCAGCTGCAGTCCCCCAAAAGGGGAACTGGCACGCGGACCGGTCACAGACGGCTGCGGGACCATACCGTCGATATTAGGACTCTCAAAGTGAGTCTGAATTCGTCGGTGAATTCAGCAAAGATTTCTGGGCGATGAGAGATGGCACAGTTTCGAACAAGAAAAAACATCAGATATCATGGAGAACATCTATCCAAACACATGTTATCACATGTTTGTGTTATTGAAATTCTGGACCCCTTTTGCATTGCATGAGTCCGATGATCTCTACCTCAACATGAAGCCACTAAAGGAGCACCACCTTTCAGATATTCAATGATTGCCACAGGGGAAATGGGTGATTTTATCTCTTAGCCAACTTTTCCCCCTAGTATCTGCGGGGTTGGGAAAAACATGGAATAAAACCTGATTGCCCTGTCGACATTTGACATGCAAACTACGAAATCAACATGTGTCATGCAAAGTACGGAACCTTGACCTTTCAAATGGTTTTATTGTTGTTTTTTTTCGTCAATCTCGGAGATAATTTTGTGCATCACTGGGATGTTCATGATGCAAATGCCTTAAACATGAATTTACTTAACTTCACTCATGTTCATTCTATTCGGTATCGAGATACTCTTTCAACAGCCGTGCTTTGGTCTTGACCTAGTGAAATCTTGGGCACACAGAGTAGCCGTCCTCTCAGCACCTGGAATAGATTTAATGCACGGAGTCGACTCTCAGTGGATGCGTGTCAAAAAGGTCCAAAGGTGACGCCGGACATTTTGGGGTTTTGCCTTAGTTGATGGGAATGGGGCGTCCCCTATTTTCAGACGGACATGACAGTGATCATGATGATGACGACGACGATGATGTTGATGATGACGATGACGATGATGATGATCTTGATGATTATGATGATGATGATGATGATGATGATGATGATGATGATGATGATGATGATGATGATGATGATGATGATGATGATGATGATGATGATGATGACGAAGACGACGACGGCGACGGCGACGGCGACGACGACGACGATGATTGTGATGATGATGATGATGATGGTGATGATGATGATGATGATGATGATGATGATGAGGACGACGACGACAATGACAATGACAATGACACGGATGATGAACATGATGAACATGATGAACATGATGAACATGATGAACATGATGAACATGATGAACATGATGATCATTGATATATGAACATGTATGAGCATGGACATCTTTCCAATCATGTACATTTAAATATACAAATAAAAATAACATGTTGCTATTACAAATACAATGATGATGATGAACATGATGAACACAGTCAGGACTGCTCCAATCCATTAGTGGTAAATGATAGCCACAATGGGTGGCCATTAGTGGTAAATGATAGCCACAATGGGTGGGGGAACTAGTCATTCTACCTCTTTGTCTACCTAGTTTTCCCCCCCGGTATCTGGGGTGTGGCAGCCCTGCGAGTGAACATGATGAGCATGATGAACTTAATGAATTTGATACTTGCGCTTGTCTTGGCTATTGATGTGTTCTTATCACTGTTGTCATCATTAGCACAACCTGGGCCGCATCGTGAATATCCTGGACTCTCATCATATGCTTGCAGCATCTCTTTTGATGAATCTGAATCGAAACTCGCGAATTTGGAATCTCCATGATTTTTGGCTTTCCCAAACTTGAATGAGACTAGTGGCCACTTTCTGCTTTCCAATGTGATGCAAAACAAAACAAGGTGGTGCTTAAACATATATTTTTAGACCAAATGTGCGCGCCCATCATCGCTGCGTGCTCGCTGCTTCAGCCCAAATTTTCCAAGGCAGCATAAGCCACCAGATAAACCTAGAGCAGGTGGAAACACAAAGCCATGAACCACTTTGTTGAAAATCAACACGACTTCTATTTTTTTAGTCCCAGCCAAACTTGACTCCACATTCGTGCAAGGTCGTAGCGTGTGTTTGCAATGGATGCACCCGTCTGTTCAAGAAGAACATTTGCAGCTTGCGGCTTCCGTTGGCATCGACAAAACCACAACTGTTTCTTGGAGCAACCCCACTACCATTCCATGTCGAAACTTTTCGACTGCTGATTAGCCTGGTGCGGTGCTGACAGCAAAACAACACAGCTGATGTTGGGGCGACACCGTTGGCGGCCGGGCAAGGCCATCTTGACAAACCTCGCTGGTTGAGGTCACATATTGATTGATGCTACGTGGTTGATCGTGAGACAATTTTGCAGGGTCATTGCGTGAATTCGAATGCGAATGAACTGTCGTTCCGGCCTGGAATAGGCTTGAGCCCCAGCCTTCCGAGATCATAATGAAAGAAGCGTTGCCACCAGTGCTGATTGTGAGTTTGGTATAGTTGGCTGGATAATGGTCGATATGTTGAGGGTTGATACGTTGATATTCCAACTATTTCCAACTTATGGGGATATTGGCCAACGGATGAATTCACAACCGATGTTGGGAAGATCTAGACATTTTTTGTCAAATTTCCAGATTAATATTTAGGTTTGTTGTGGTTTGTATTTATGGGACCACGGAGCAGCACTCATCTCACACACCCCTTTGGTTCTCGATAGTGTCTGTGCCCACTGAGATCATGTACGACTTCTGGGAAGCCTTGATCGGTCGCATTAGTACCACTGCGGGAGGCCTCGTAAAGAGAGCCTTGGCGAAGCACTGGGGCCACTGCGCAGGGCCAGGATCAGATGGATGGGGGGGTTGTCAAGAAACTGATCAGAATCAAACTTGACTTCTCTTGGTATACCGACTATTTTGAAACAAAGCCATGTAATTTATCTTAGACGAGATGTGGGGTTGCTTCATTGGGAGATGCTTCAAAATTGATTTTTAGGCTAGAACCAGCCTAGAGAAAACCACATGTTTCCTTTCCATCAGAGGCTCTGATGTTGGTTCCGTTTCGGTGACCTCTTCTAAGACCTGAAGTTGGCGAACCTTTGAGGGGAAATCCCAAAAATTGATTTTCGTTTGTGCGTTTTCTGGTATAATTCATGGCTTTAGGTTTTGTTTTAGACGGTTTCCCTAGGTTTATCATGGTTTTTGGCCAAGGAGCTGGAAAACAATACACCTTGACCCACAAACATCCAAAACCAGCAGCTGCGGCAGATTGCAGCAGTATGGTTTGAACATGTTTGAACTGGTTGGTCATCAGCATCATCACAGTCTGATACGAAAAAACACGTATCTTTTCATTGGTTTTCTTTGTTCTGGAAGGTTTGTGGGAGTTTTTATGGAGGTTTCGTTTGTCTTGACATCAACAGAGACCCAGTCCTCTGTTCAGACGACCCCCGAAGTTAATAGATGATGTCATAGTTACCTGAGGTTGTAAGTTACCTGAAGGATTTACTGCATCCATGCTGCGGAAAGCTTCAAGCTCTTCATTGATTTCCACACATGATTCAGGCATGACAGGCAATACTAATGCACTCAGAGCCACGCAGCCTAGTGTGGTAAACCGGTAAACCCACAAATGAACCACGACTTTTGGAGGGCCTGTTTCTAGTGAAATTGGGGATGGTTTAGTAATAGAGTTTACGATAACCCATATGATCCATGGTGCTGGTATATATGCTAACATTTAGGGTATATTGATGGTAAATGTCACCATATATAGCATACATGGATCCTATGGGTAACTAATAGAGTTCAGTAGGTTGGGCGTGGTTTTCGGAGTCCACTGACCCTGGCTTTGACTGAATTCTTCATAGATTCTGGTGAATCTCAGCGGCCAGAACTCAGAACTGGGAACCATCTGATCAAATCTAACTTTTTTCGACACATGCAACACATGGGTTTCTTCGACAAGAAACTCGGGAACTCGGGGAACCTAAAAATATATCAACATATTACCCATAGGATCCATGGTGCTGGTATATATGCTAACATGACTGGGGTATATTGATGGGATCCATGTTACCAAATATAGCAGCACCATGGATCCTATGGGTTATGGTTGATCACCATTTGCCTGATTTTGTTTAGTGTTTTTTCTTGGGTCCCCAAATTTACGTTCTTAGGTCAATGGGCCGGCGTGAAGAACTTCCAGAATCAGCCTTTTGGCCTGAGATGAATTGCACGAGCGTGCCACTATGTTTAACCACCAAAGAGTGCTGTTAGTAGTGGTGTTTTTTCATTCATTCATCCATTCATTTGTCGTTGGTTCATTTATTCGTTCGTTCATTCATTAATTCATTCATCCATCAACTCATTAATTCATTAATTCACTCATTCATGTTCTTTTTCATTTTCAGGTTCATTTCCATTTCATTTCATTTTATTCCGTTTCGTTTCGTTTGTTTCCATGTCCATTTCATTTCATGTAATTCCTTTATTTCTTGTTTGTTCGCTCAATTTGTCCTTTCTTCCGTGTACATTATCATTCTTTCATGCAATCCTATGTTTGTTGCCTTCATTCAATAGTTCAATCGTTTTATCATTCATTCTCTTATGTGTTGGTTCACTCATTGAGGAGGTTTTAAGTCATTGACTTGTTCCTTCATTCAATGCTTCTTTGATGGGTGAACATTCATTTCATCTCAGCTGTTTTCTTTGCATGTTCATTTCATTTTACATACATTTTTTGATTATATAACTATCCATTGTTTCATTTGTTTTGTCAATCCATTTTAATGTTGTTGCACTTTACTTCACTTTGTTTCAATCATTTCATTTCATTTCATGCCGTTTAACTCCGTTCCCTCAATCTTTAATTTAATTCATTCAGTCATTTATTATCATTCATGCATCTCGCTCGTGTGCATCCAAACACCTTCCTGTACCCTTGGATTTCTTAAAAGCACTGTATTGACTCTTTTCCAAAACTTCCGCCCTGGGGCAGGTGGGCACTACTGGTAACCAAGATTAACTATAATGTAGATCTATATAGTAAGTCCATGTAAGTCCCCGAAGTAGATCGTTACTTTCAACTGGGGGAGGTCAACAACCCGATTCACGCACCAGTTGCGATTCGTTGTGTGATCTCTCAAGTTGCGACCCAAATAACAAGTTTTTTGAAAGACATTGTTCAAATCACCAAAGGAGTCTCTCTTCCCTGGCAAGATATTAGCCATTCCAAGGTTGTTCACCTTGGTGTCTTTGTTGGTCTTTGCCTATTCTCTTCACCTGGTGAAGCGACCTGGCTGTACCACCATGGGCGATGGCTGATCCACAAGGTTTATCGGTTATGGCCGGTTCAATGGGGGAAAGGACGATAAAGGATGCATTGTTGATTGCTTTTTGGCTGACTCTGCAGACACATTTCGGGGGCTGCTGTTTCTGAACACTGGGAAAAGCCTTTCGAATGGCCAGGTTATCTCGGGTCAAAACTAGAGGGATATTGTGGCTAGTCAGCGTCTCAGGATCCATAAGTTCTAGAACTTTAGGATAGGTCAAATTGGAATATTGTTGCTTGTCTCCATGTCCCAGTAATCTATAACATGGCAGTGGAAAATCCATCGAACTAACAAGTAGAATCATCGGAAAGTAGGGCATTTTTCTATTGTTCTGTTGGATTTCCAGAGGATATGCAGTTGGACATTGACATCCGCGGGTTGGTTCAGAAGACGGGCACCTAGTGACCTAAGTGGACCGGTCTGACCGTACTCATGTCGTCCCCAAATTGTGACAAGTGGGTCGGGATCCCAAACAAGTTGTATGATATTGATGGTAGATGAATGCACAGGGAGGTACTCCCCCAGTTATATAATAAGTTGGTTTATAATCCCCATGAATCATAGTTATAGCCAGTTATAGCTTCATAAACCCTAGTTATTGGAGTCATAAACCAACTTAGACTATGGGGCACCCCCCGAATTTGATGACAGTTTCAAAGAAAAACAACGGGTTTCATAAATCAACCGTTTTCCCGTGACTTTTACTTGCAAATTCCCGCATTTTGGCCTGGGTCAGGAAGCATTTTCTCAACTTCAGCGACCTGGCTCCATCGTTTGGTGTTCGGCTGTGGTCCAGCTGGGCCGATATTCAAAGATCACGATGGACGGGCATCCCGAAAATAAAGTCATAAGCTACCGAAATACATTGTTGGTGGAACGCTTCAACAAAGTCGTGTTGATTTTGCTATTATAGGATTTATAGGTTACCCTTAGTTGCTTATCTTCACACCCTTCCCCCCCCACAGCGTTTGGAGTTTTTCAAAGCCGCTGTTGCGAGTGATTTCGTCCATTCCGAATGGCCCAGGCTGGAGAAAGATGCTCCTCATCACAGGAATTGTCCGGACCCAGAGGATCCCAGTGCTGGGGTGATGTGGTTGACAAGGGCAACCCACGGCATGGCTGATCGATTCTTATCGCCGGGTAAACATGTCTGGCCAATTGGAGCCATTAGCTTGGGTCCCAAATACTTGGACCCTTTCGAACCACAGATTGTGGGTTGTGGCATGGTCATTGTATGTCATGGTTCTTTTGGTAGTTCATGCCATTTTCACATTGCCTGACCCATACCCCAGCAAGAGGGGTAGCCCAAAAGCCAGTTGTTTCTTTAATATCATTATCCCCATAGAACCTAATTTTTGGACATTGCCCACTGGGAAGTTTCATAGATTTCCAGACCGACTCGCTTGTGTCCCTCTTGCCGGCCGGTGTGGCCGAGATTCTGAACCTTTTCGATGTGCCATCCTTAGCCCAGGGTTGTCACAGGCGAATCAGACAACGGAGTCTGTGTTACACGCTTGCACATTGTTCCGAAATGTGATGTTGGGTGAAATGATCATGTTCATGATGATGATGATGATGGTGATGATGATCATGATGATCATGATGATCATGATGATCATGATCATGATCATGAGGATCAGGAAGAGGAGGAGGAGGAGGAGGGGGGAGGATGCATGTTGATGATGATCTTTATATAGAATCATTATCATTGTGTTGTTTTGTTTTTAACCATTGCCACCACTCAAATTGTGTGCGTCTCTTCACTTCTCTAGACAACATTGAGAAGTAGTGCTGGTTTTGAAGGTCCCCATTTCTAAGAGACCAACAAACATCATAATATTGCATGTCATATATACACATCATACTAGTATAATATGTATATAATATATATGTATATGATATTTATAAGTAACTTTCTCCCTCTTGGGATTGTATGGGTTGTATATATGTATGTATAGATATATACACACATATATATATATATATGTATATCATATTTTCCCAACAAGGGCAACGCCGACATGCCACATATCATTCCTGATATCATCTGAGGCAACGTTGGCATTGTGCACCACCTATGATGTAGCGCCTTGTTGAGAACGGAGACATTTCACAGCAGCATTCATTGGTGAATAATGGTTAATTAATATGTTAATATTGGTGTAATTGGGGATTTATATTAACCAATATCAACACATAAACCATTATTAACCATTAATGATTGTTATTTGGGTAGCCTCTATTAGTTCGCGTCATGGTGGCGCCATGGCCCATAGAAATAGATGATCCTATGATGATTTACCGGTGTTCGCTATGTTAAATTACCAGTAAAATTTGGTTGGGCAACGTGATTTGGTGAATATTTTTTGGTTATAAATACGGATATGATCGCCGGCTAGGAACCTTTTTTTTGTATGGGATGACAACTCCAATGACGGTGTTTTTGGGGGATTCTGTTCCCGTTTGTGGGAGTTATGACGGGGGACAATGAACCTCCCCAGCACTTATCTAGCAGAAAGGGTTTCACATATGCCCAAGAAGCAGGGTGTCCCATCAGCAAAAACACTTATAAATCATAGATCATGATAAATCATTATATGTGTTTCTATTTATTCCAAATATACGTATTATCTTTGCTACATCATTTTGCTACTACCCAATTCAATAAGTGGAGGTGCATCATAGATGCCTTTTTCCGATTGATATTTCGGGGTCACCTAATTTTTTGACAACCACAAGGTCGATCCTGTTCTTCCATTTTAGGGCATGATTGATGTCAGGTCAGAAACCAATACTTCTACCTGGGAGAGACGATTCTGGATGAGATTCCCGCGGCCGCAAATTTCGTCCCCTGGCTGTTGGAAGAGCCTTCCACACCTCAAGATGAGCAGACCCACCTTTAAATCTGCTTTATTTTTGTAGGGAAATGGGTGGCATGGAGGGATAGTTGACCTTAAAGAAGTATATAGTATAAATATGTTCAAATCGATTTGCCGGAGCAAATGTCAAACAAAATGTCAGCACTTGTTTCAGGAAGCTGGCAACATGCCGGCCTTGTTTCAGACGGTTTCTATTTTGGCCGGATCACATGTTCTGCGCCAGGTCGTTGGAACCTTTATCATCGTAGAGATGGCTGATCAGGTTCTGCCACTTGCCAGGGGGCCAGGGGGTTCCAAAGCACTGATGATCCCTGATGCCTAACATGTATTTTTTGTAGGGCATAACATCAGCAACTGTGTATGGATGGAATCCAACATATTGGGGAGACGACCTGTACAGCCATCAATGGACATTGATCAAATACACAGTATGTATAGCGCGGACAGCTTCTGAGTGGTGCGCGCACGGCGGCAGCAGTGTGGCGCAGCACGAGGTTCATGTCCAGCAGACTGCTTTATACACATCTCAAAGGCCGACCGGAGAGTTTGCCCCTGCCAGGCTTCCATGGTATTCACTACGCCATAGAACAACTGTAAGATGGCGTCAGCACAGGGATGTCAGGGCCCTGACTGAAAGCCGAATTGGATAGGCACGGCACTTGTCGCACATGCCCACCTGTCCATTAACCAACAATCAGTTCGTGCAACTGTATTGTAGCGCGCTGAAGAAGATGGGAAAATCCAAATGGCACTTGGTCTGATTGCGAAGACCAACCCCAATAAAAACTGGGAGAAGCTATGCTGAGCACTGGTCTCCCCAAAGCTGGGTAAAAAACACGACAAGTGCGACCCACGGATTTTGAGCCGTCCCAAGCCACATGCAATCACTGTCGACATGCTAATGCTGCCCCACTCGCTTGCTGTCTCAACGAATGCCGCTCCCCAAAGATATACCGGTGCCTTGTCGGACATCAAACTACAAAATCTACGGACTTTAGAATTGTAGCAAGCCACGTGCACCGGACATGCGGGCCGCTCTGTCCCACAAGTCCTTTCGAGGTTGAAACCAAGACGGCCATTCAGGGTAGCATCCATGCCAACTGGACTGCTGCACCGGCCATTCAGCCTGGAGAGAACCATCTGCCAGGTGCCAAACAAACAAACTAGTAATCAAGGCACTGAAATCGAGACAGGCAATGAGACGTGCGCGGACTACCTGTAGAGCAGCTTTGCTTGTGATGACACTCTTCACACGATTAGGAGTAGTTGTGATGCCCAAACCAGATAGCACCAGGGGACGCACAATAACAGCCAATGCTTTTCCGGCGAATCAGCCACACGAGAAGGAAACAAGGCCACGGTACAACGATCTCCCATTGCAAGCATCGGTTGTAAACAGCCCCACTAACTGGAAAGACTTGGGCCGAGGGCTCACGGTATGTATAATATACCCATAGTAATATCTTCAGTTGATTTCTCAAACTGGTAGCTGGGAAAACCCTGCTTTTGCTCAACTAACCAGGATGGCAGCATGACTGAAGGATATTAGATTCAGATGTGCAGTTGAGAATGCCATGAACTTTTCGAAGCGGAGCCCGCATTTTCAGCGGGCACTTCAGCCCATTCATGTGTCAGGCAACACTGGTATGACCCTTGTATCTCAATGGGGAGTAGGGATATTCTTGTACCCTAAAAGAGAATTGGAATGTATTGAACTGTGGCCAAGCATTGACTTCAGAGATACCCCAGCACTGTCATGGCCGGCCATGGATTGGCCGTGCTCGGCCAGGGGAATGAGGGATTGACCTACGGCCTTTTCACCACTGTTTCGAATTTGGGGTTCCCGTTCTCTCGGGCCATCGGCAATCAGGCCAGGTGGGCCAGGTGGTGCAGTGTTCTGGGTCAACCTCGCTGAAGGGTAGTGCCACAAACCAAAACGCATATAATGTTAGTAAAGCAATAGTATCCACCATCTCCTGCATCTCCAATTTTAAACGATTTCACCGTAAATGGGACGTATGAGCCATCAATTCTTATAGGTATTCTTGCGTTACCAACATTAGTATAAACCTAATCAGTCGGTTCTCAACAGGACCTATCAGGAATTCAAACATTGGTTGCTGATAGTTTCCAGTGCGTGCACATTGGTCCTGTCATGTCAAACTGCGATCCCGGAGGAAGCCTTGAGACTTGCGTGTCTCATTGTGTTTGTCTGGGTACAGGGTACCGGGTACCTTGAAATCCTATGGTTCATCATGAATTCCCGCCTTAACTTGCTGTTTTGTGGTGCAACCCATTTCTGTGCGTTTCTGAATCTTATTTTCTCAGTGAAACACCTTGACCGAAGTCGATTTTACAGACATGGGAAGACAAGAGGAAACCCCAGAAATTGTACAGTTTTTTTTTGCTATAGGACAACCATGCTTGGTGGTTCATCCCAGTTAGTAAGTGGGTTACAACCCCAGTTACAAGTGGATTTACCCTACTTATCTCATGTATATCCTGGGTTATAACCCACTTACTAAGTGGGATGAACCACCAAGTGGACAAACCAAATAACGACCGATCACCTTGGCCACGCTGAGATTTTCGGCCTCTTTCAACCCAACTTGTCGGATAGGGAGAACTACAAGCACCTTGGCTGTCGTAATTCAAGAAGGGGATGACAATCCTACTCCTGATTTTTGGATATTCATGTATATATATATTTATTTATATTCATGGTATACGATGTATATATATATATACACTATACTATCTGGCTGTCATAATTCAAGAAGGGGAAGAAGGGGATGACTATTCCTACTCATCATCCCCAACCTTGGATGGGTAGTTTCTTGCTAGATTGACTATGTCATGATTAATTGTATTATTAGGCCTTTTTTCCTCGGCATGTGACCCATATTCTTCAAATTGCAGCTTGACATGTAGTCTGACATTTGTTTTGACGTTTGTTCAGGCAAAAAAATGACATCAGCTCTGACATTTACTCTTACATTTGATCTGGCAGATTTCATGTGTGACATACATTCTGATATGTATTCTGACAATTGCTCTCGCAATTTCCATGTCACACATCTTCTGACATACATTCAGACATAGACCCTGACAAATAGTCTAACATTTGATTTGTTCTTTTTCTGACATTGACTCTGACACCCATTCGGAAATTTGATCTGGCACGGCAAATGTCAATCGACATATCTTCTGGTATCCTGGCATCAACTCATAGTCTGAAATTTGACCTGACAATTTTCTTGTGAGATACTTACAGACATTGATTCTACCATTTTTTGACATGTAGTCACACTATCTCACACTTGCCCTGGCAAACTTTAGCTGTCATATATTCCCACAAATCTCGGGGCATAGAGAGAGAGAGAGAAGAGAAGAGAAGAGAAGAGAAGAGAAGAGAAGAGAAGAGAGAGCATCTTGGCATTGAGGTCGGGTGTGCCAGGCAGCAGATCTAGAAACTCCCGCCTGACATCTGTGGAACAAGTTGTTCTAGGATGGTATCGAGGAAATTTTCTGCATATATAACTCCCAGGGTTCTTTTTCCATCTCTTACCTATATATGTAGCGTGTATATATATTTATATATATATACGTATATATATATATAGATTATATTATTATATACTGTATGTATTTGATACGATGCACGTTCATGGGGTCCAACCGCCTTTCACATCCATTACCAACTTACACTCCCCGTCTGGGCTAATTAGCTACATAGTATCTCTTTTTTTCCTGCATATCCCGAAGATATCATGCCAATTCGATCCAATTAATTTTCAGTTCTGCATATGCATACTCCAATTGTGTTTTTTACTTGGGATGTCATGTCCGTAAAACTTCCATAACAATAATTTCATACAATTTCCCTATTGTCCTGTTCTTTTCCAATTGGTTTGTTATTACAGTTACGTGTATATTAAATAAATAAATAAATATAAATATAAATATATATATATAATATATAGTATATATATAATAATAATGATGATGGAAGGTCACCCGACCTCAGCCGGCAACAAGGACCTACCCGCCCTAATCCCACCTCCGAAAGAGCTTTGTGCAGGAGAAACAACAGCTGCAGTTTGGTCATGAAGTTGAAAGCAAAACCAACGAAAACATGTCGTTCTGAGATAGACAGACATGTGCTGACCCCCTGTGATTTAGGACAATTTTTGCTGGTGCCACGTTCAATTGTTTGAAATCATAATTATACTGTATGAATCTTGGCCGTGGAACAAGTGCCAAAAACAGGTTTGACGCGGAAACTATTCTGAACTAGTCTGGGAGAATGTTGACCTCAAAAATAAGCCATCCAACATTCGGAAAGTTAAGAGCAAAACGGGGGGAAAAAGGTCAAGACATTCATAAAGAAACCTAGGTACTACTATTGACTGGTTGGCCTACTAGGGTAGAGGGCACGGTCTCTATTTGTTCGGCTTTGTGGGCCTTCAAAGTTGTCTTTTCTGCATTTTTTGAATTTCAAAATGTGTTGTTTAGGAGCCCGGGACCGTTTTGACGGGAATTGCGCTGTGAGAAACTCCTATTGTCTCGGTATGGCGCTTCCCCCTCGGCTTGTTTCCTCAAGCCTTTCAGAAGCTGCTGCTGGGCACAAATGCCCGACCTCACTATTATGTTCGCAATTGATCTCACCAGTGTAACTGAGTGAAAGAATGAACATAACCCACGACCCGCGAGATATCATAGTTTGAACAGAGAGAACTATATATAGTCTTAGATAACTATACATGTATATAAATACATATATAAATACATATATATATAATATATATAATATTATATTATGTGTATGTATTTCTGTTCATATCTCTAAGAAGGCACCAACTTTGAGAAACTAACAGGCTGGACACGATGGAATTCCGTCACACCGTGGCACGATCGCGGCCTGGCTTCATATCTGTTTCGATAGTTAAAATCTGGTTGCCTTGATTTGCTGCAGGTGATTTTGTATTTTCCCAGTGTTTTTTTTTTTTTTGCATATATACATATATACATATACACTGTAAATGTACATATATGTGTATATGCCATTACATATATATATATGGGTGGTCCGCTTCATCAAAACCAAAATGGAAGGGAGAACAATTCAACTGGGTTTGCCCAAGCATGGGGTAAGGCTCAAAGTTGTCAAATTTTCTTTCAATCAGATCATGGGACAATGCCTGAGAAGACGATAATCCCTAGCGTTGGCCAGTAGCCCATTTTCAGACACATCCAAATTTGATCGCTAAAATTGCATTGATCGAGCTATTGCATTACATGCATGCATGCATACATACAAACAAACAAACATACATACATACTTGCATCATCCAACCACCCATCCATCATTCATACAGTTATAGATTCATACATCCGTTCATTCATACATACATACATGCATACATACATACATACATACATACATACGATACATACGATACAAACACACATACGATACATACGATACATACGTAACATGCGTAACATACTTAACATACACAACATACATAACATACGTAACATACGTAACATACGAAACATACACAACATACATAACAAACAAAACATGCATAACATACATAATATAGTATACATGAACGATATACAAATATCACATACTGTACATCACTTGTCATAACACAACATAACATACAAAACATACATAACATACAAAACATACATACGTACCATGCGTACCATACATACCATACATACCATACACACCCTACACAATACACACCATATACATCATACATACCATACATTCATACCATACATACCACACATAGCGTACATATCATACATACCATACATACAGCACATACCATACGTACCATACGTACCGCGCATACCATACGTACCATACGTACCATACATATGCATACATACATATATATATATGTATTTACATACATACATACATTACATACATTACATACATTACATACATTACATACATTACATACATTACATACATTACATACATAACATACATTACATACATAACATACATAACATACACAACATACATATCATACATATCATACATAACATACATATCATACAAAACATACATTACATACATTACATACATTACATTCATATCATACATCGCATACATAACATACATATCATACATAACATACATAACATACATAACATACATAACATACATTACATACATTACATACATTACATACATAACATGCATAACATACATAACATACATTACATACATAACATACATAACATACAAAACATACATTACATACGTTACATTACATAACGTTACATAACATTACATAACATTACATAACATTACATACATTACATACATACATTACATTACATTACATTACATTACGTTACATTACATTACATAGCATAGCACAACATAACATAACATAGCATAACATAACATACATTACATACATTACATACATAGCATACATAACATGCATAACATGCATAACATACCATACCATACCATACCATACCATACCTCACCATACCATACCATACCATACCATACCTCACCATACCATATCATACCATACCATACCATACCTCACCATACCATATCATACATACATACACACAGACATATGAGATATAAGAGATGTGACTATCTTATTTGTATGCGGTACAGTAACCTGTCACTGTTGATGATCTTGGATGCTGGAGCTAAGGAGAGCAAATAAAAAGACAACCACAAGGTTTGTCGTGTCTATCTCCCCAATTAAGTAATGGAGGTTATAGTGTAGTGTTTGAATGGGTGTTAATTGGATTTCTCAATCCCTTCATGTTTTGAAAGACATGTTTCAGCATCAGCAAAAAGGAATCAAACATGATTTTTCTGGATTTCACAATGCCGCGATGGAAAGCCGAGGTTCCTGCTTAGTTATGCCTTCTCTTTTGCGTCCTTCCTGCTGTTGGTGCTCCTGCCGTACCAGAAGCAAGAAGCACAACGGAGGCATCTTTCATTGGCCAGAACGATTGAGTGCAAACTGATTAGGAAAATGCCATTGGCTCCCAGACCCCGTGGAGCATGAAGAATGGCGATGGGATTTTAAACAACATGGGTTGCAACTCGCAAGCATGGGGGGTTTGCTGTTAGCTCCATGATGCAACTGGAATTGGAAGACATGCCCCCCAAAAGCCGAGGGTCCGAGGGTTACCAGTCATTTCGGTGAGGTTGGGAATTTGAAACCAAAAATCGCCAAAGATGGTCAAGGCCAAATTCAAATAGCTCCGCAATGATGAGAGTAGTTTTCGTCCCAACATCATAGGCCGAGATGTTTGTTTCCTGTTTTCATGAAGACTTGAGAATTATGGCCAAGTTTTTGAGGGATTCCCAGTTTCATGGTGGGATGACCGTAACCCACCATCAATTTGACCACCGCCAGGAAGAGGGAATGGTCCCGACGTCCTGCTTTTGGCCCCTTGGCATCAGACCCAATAGCCACCAAACGGCTGCGGGAAGCTGAGTCAATGTTATTCCGATTGAATCAATATGTTGGATAATTATCGAAGGAAGTTTAGAAGTCAAACTTCCGACAATATGGACCGATGAAAAGCAGAGATGGGAAGAGTCAGAGAGAAGAGAAGAGTAGAAGAGAGAAGAGTAGAAGAGAGAAGATCAGAGAAGAGAAAGAGTCAGAAGAAAGAAGATGCAGGTGCGAGAAAAGGTAGGAAAGTCGCAAAACACTGTGTTTTTCTAAAGATTTGTGGCTCCGGAGGGTCGAAAAGTAGGCTCGCTAAAGCGGCGGGTGCAGAGCCGTCTGGCCAGATGAGAGATGAAAAATTGCACGCTGTTGTGGCGCGAAGCACATTTCCAAGTCAAAATGTACAAAACACCACATGCTCGGACCACTTTTGGACGTTGAGATGTCGAAAAAGTGTACGCCGTTGTGGCGCGAAGCACATTTGCAAGTGATAAAGGTAAAAACACCTGACGGTTCGGGCCACTTTTGGAAGTTGAGATGTCGAAAAAGTGCACGCCGTTGTGGCGCCAAACACATTTTGAAGTTAACATGTGGAAAACACCAAGGGTTCGGACCACTTTTGGACGTTCACGATGAAGTTAACGTTTCGCGTTCAGGCAGGCGCAAGGGATTGTGGACCTTGTCAAAAGTGAGCAAAACGTGAGGGCTTTGTAGCATTTCCAAAAAACGATGGCAGGCGTGGGACATTTGAAGAGGATCTGCAAAGATGCATTTTCCGTGGCAGGCGCAGTACAAGAGACATCTTCATCAGAGCTGTTAGGAGGTCCGGGCGCTGATTTCCTGAGAGGGGTTGCATTTTGGAGCATCAGATCTTCAGGTTTGCTGAGATGATTTTGCGTGACAGGTGCAGCACTTCGTATGACCTTGACCTGGCATCCTTTTTTCGTGGCAGGCGCAGTCGTTTAGACAAATGGATTGGACAAATCGCAAAACGCATTGGCACGAGGCCGTCAGCGCTGCACGCAACTTTCCATTTTTGAAGGAAGTCTCGCAGAATTGCTTCGTTTTTGATGTTGTCAATTTTGAAAAATGAAGAAGTCTCGCAGAATTGCTTCGTTTCTGACACTGTCAAGTTCAAATATTGAGGAAGTCTCGCAGAATTGCTGCGTTTTGTATGTTGTCAAGTTCAAAACCTGAGGGCATCTCGCAGAATAGCTTCGTTTTCAAGCTTGCAGATAGACAGGTAGGTAGATAGAGAGACAGACAGACAGACAGATAGACAGATAGGTAGGTAGGTAGATAGGTAGATAGGTAGATAGGTACGTAGATAGATACATAGTTAGATAGACAGATGAGATGAGATGAGATGAGATGAGATGAGATAGATAGGTAAATCGATAGATAGATAAATAGATAGATAGATAGGTAGATAGATAGGTAGATAGATAGATAGGTAGATAGATAGATAGGTAGGTCGATCGATAGGTAGATAGATAGATAGGTAGATAGATAGATAGATAGATAGGTAGGTAGATAGATAGACAGCCAGACTGATAGATAGACAGCTAGACTGATAGATAGATAGATAGATAGATAGGTAGATAGGTAGATAGGTAGATAGGTAGATAGGTAGATAGGTAGATAGGTAGATAGATAGATAGACAGATAGATAGATAGGTAAGTTGATAGACAGATAGATAGATAGATAGATAGGTAGATAGATAGACAGATAAATAGATAGATAGGTAGGTAGATAGATAGATAGGTAGGAAGAAAGATATATAGAGAGATAGGTAGATAGATAGATAGACAGATAAATAGATAGATAGATAGGTAGGTAGATAGATAGGTAGGTAGATAGATAGATTGATAGATAGATCGTGAGATAGACAGACAGACACACAGCGAGAGAGAGAGAGAAAGAGAGAGAGAGAGAGATAGAGAGATAGATGGATACATAGATAGAGAGGTGGGTAGGTAGGTAGATAGTCAGAGAAAGAGAGAGAAAGAGAGAGAAAGAGAGAGAAAGAGAGAGAAAGAGAGAGAAAGAGAGAGAAAGAGAGAGAAAGAGAGGGAAAGGGAGGAGACACAAAGCACCTTTCGATCCATGAGGGGCTTCGCTCTGCCATCCGTGATTCACAACAACCAACCTCTCCTATAGGTTTCCTATGTTTGAAACTTCCGCCACCGCCTTGTGTGGTACTACTGGTATAATCACCACCTCTGTAAGTGGCTACTTTTCAGGGGGGACCATACCAAAATGAAAGATATTTTTTGGGGGAATCCTTAAATGTTAAAATTGTTCGCTGAACGTCCCCCAGGTGTCGTTTTTTGTGGGGAAGGTCTTCAAAATTCCTTCAAAATGTAAGCTTACATTTTCAAGCCCCCCTCAAAAACACCTTAAAAACGTAGCTGACATTTTGGGCACGTCCCTCTTTGAAACGTTGGTGATATTATATATATATTATATATATATAAATACATATGTATATTAAAGTGTCTGTTCACACGACATGTTTCTTTGCTATGTCTTCCCCAAAAAGTGTTCCTACACTACCGGTACGGTAAGTGTGATAGAGGCCTAGTTTGATTGGCTCGGAAATCTGCTGCGGTTTTCGTCTGAGCAAGCTTGTGTGAGTCTGCTTCATTTTAAAGGATCCTTGCATCCTTGCACAGAGATCCCTACATGCATCCTTTTGCAGATATCTTGTGAGTTCTTTGAGGATCCTCGTGCAGAGGCCCTGTCAGCGTGAGTCCTTGTTTAGAGATCTTGTGGCTGTCATTCAAGTATCGTACACTGTTGTCCCTCGCCAGAGTATGTAACTGTTCACGTCCGGACGCGTATTGAACTACCCCTGAGCCTTCCGAGCTGGAACCCGCAAAAATATGTTCTTACTGATCCCCATCAACTGACAATTTATCTGACACATTTTTTGACATTATAGTGGGAATTCTGTCTGACATATTTTCTGACATTCTATTTGACATACATTGTAACTTTTTTCCCGGGGTTTTCTCTGGCACTCTATCTAACCGCGACATACATTGTCAAGTTTGGTGACATGTTAACTAGTCTGACTCAATTAGTCCGACATAATTTTTGTCATCATTTGTTCTGTGATTTTATTTGGCATTCTATCTGACAAATAGTTTGACATTTCATCTGGTGATTCGATTTGACAAGCATTCTGACAGAAATTCTAACATTTAATCTTTCTGACGCATGCATACGGGCATTTAATCCGACACTTGTACTTACATTCTATCTGACATGTTTGTTTGACATGACATTTAGCCTTTTTTAATCTGGCATTCTATCTGACATATATTCTGGCACTTTCTCTGGCATATATTTTGACAATCTATTTGACAAAGAGTTTGAAGTAAATAATATAATATTTTTCCTATGTGACAGACATATTCTAGCATTCTATCCAACATACAGTACACATATATGTATATACATACGTTCTTACACATTCTAACACTTGAGCTGACCCTCTACCTACTGACGTTTTATCTTGCATTCCACCCTGGCAGAACAAACCAGGAGGATGCTCAATCATGAAAGGAATACATGAAAACCATTGGCGATCCAGCAGATTAAAAAGACAAACATATGGTGCGATTGGCAGTGATTGGAGCACCTTTGGAGGCATTTGTCTTGAGCGGGTAAAAACAACTAGCTCCCAGAATTGGATGAAAGGAAGCCTCGCAAATCAATCCCTCATTTCAATCCAGATTGAACGGCATATGGGTTGCTATCTTTTGGGTTAATTCCATCAGTTTTGATCCTTACACCCCCACCTTGATACTTAATTCCACCAGTTTGGGCTTAAACATCCCCACGCTGATTTTTAAACTTACGGGGTGGTGCCCCATAGTTCGCCAAGTGAGTTTATAACTCCAGTACTAGTAGGGTGTATATATATATAATATATAATTTAATATTTGATTGCATCAGGAGAAATCCTTACGCTTTGCAAACTGCCAAGCGCCTCCGGAAGTCGCTCAGGTTACATCACCTGCGGTTTGCTTCTTTTGGCCTTCATCTACTCCATGACAGCCACCTGCCGGAGGGGATAATGTCTCTCCAGCAATGGATTTTGGAACCAAGAAGTTAACAAGAATTGAGGGATGAGATGGGATTGAGTCTTGATATGTCTTGGTCATGGTTGAATAAAATAGGGACTTGAGAAAAGCTTGTGTTGATTTTGGTATTGACCTGACCGCTACAAGTTTTGCTTCCTTTTTGTTTTGATTCCCAGGGAAGCCTTGCTTCATGACCTGGCACCGTTTGCCCACCTTGGATTAGTATTGGATTCGTACATGTCGTGGCCCATATGTGGGGTTAGAATCAGGGACCACTCCAACCTGAGAAATATGGTTTCGCCGTGGATAAATATCACAAGGCGATTCAATATCCCCTCGCCAAGCTGTGCCTATGTGATGAAAAAAGTGGGGTTGACCACCATTTTTAACCACCCATGGCCATAGGTAAGTGAGATTAAGTGGTATACCAGCCCGGTCCTAATATCTTTCTGCACAAGAAATGGTTGATTCCAATTGCATCAGGGGTTTCTCCTGGCCATGTGAGATTGCGGAAGGGTACCAGATTACAGACCATCAATGACTTGGCATTTCCCCCGTTGCCATTGAACCTCGCGGAAGTCTTCGACCGATGCTCAGGTGAATTTCCTGACGATGATCCCTGAAACTGCATGTCTGGCCCCTGGCAGATTGGAGCCTGGTCTGGGATTGGCTATGATAAAGTGCATGAACAATTGTGTTTTGAATTAAATTATGTATTTAAATGTGGTTATGTATTAGTGATATCTATCTACCTATCTACCTATCTACCTATCTACCTATCTACCTATCTACCTATCTACCTATCTATCTATCTAACTATCTATCTATCTACCTACCTATCTATCTATATATCTATCTGTCTATCTGTCTATCTGTCTATCTGTCTATCTGTCTATCTTTCTATCTACCTATCTATCTACCTCCTTACCTACCTACCTACCTTATCTGTCTGTCTGTCTGTCTGTCTATCTAATCTAATTTAATCTCATCTGATCTGATCTAATCTAATCGAATCTAATCTTATCTAATCTAATCTTATCTAATCTAATCTATCTATTTATCTATCTATTTATCTATCTATTTACCTATCTATCTCATCTATCCGTCTATCCGTCTATCCATCTATCCATCTATCTATCTATCTATCTATCCATCTATCTATCTATCTATCTGTCTATCTATCCATCTATCTATCTATCTATCTATCGATTTATCCATCTATTTATCTATCTATCGATCGATCTATCCATCTATCCATCTATCCATCTATCCATCTATCCATCTATCCATCTATCCATCTGTCCATCTATCCATCTATCTACCTATCTACCTATCTACCTATCTACCTATCTACCTATCTACCTATCTACCTATCTACCTACCTATCTATCTATCTTTCTCTCTATCTTTCTATCTAACTATCTATCTATCTATCTATCTATCTATCTATCTATCTATCTATTTACCTATCTATCTATCTATTTATCTATCTATCTATCCATCTATCCATCTATCCATCTATCCATTTATCCACCTATCCATCTATCCATCTACCCATCTCTCCATCTATCCATCTATCGATCTATCTATATATCTTGCTATCTATCTATCTATCTAGCTATCTATCTATCTATCTACCTATCTATCTATCTATACATATATATATATATATCCTCTGTCTGTCTGTCTGTCTATCTTTCTTTCTTTCTATCTATCTAAATCTATATCTACATCTACAACTATATCTAGATCTTTTTTTATCGTAGCTATCTATCTTATCTTAAAATATATTATATCATCTTATCTTATCTTATCTTGCCTTATCTTCTCTATCTAAACTATATATCTCTCTATCTATCTACCTATCTACCTAGTTATTTATCTATCTATCTATCTACCTATCTATCTACCTACCTACCTACCTACCTAATCTATCTGTCTGTCTGTAAATCTAATCTAATCTGGTCTAATCTAATCGAATCTAATCTTATCAAATCTAATCAAACTATTTATCTATCTATCTCATCTATCTATCTATCAATCAATCTATCTATCTACCTATCTATCTATCTATCTTTCTATCTGTCTCTCTATCTATCTATCTATCCATCTATTTATCTATCTATCTATCTATCTGTCTATCTATCTATCTGTCTATCTATCTATCTATCTATCTATCTATCTATCTATCTATCTATCTATCTATCTATCTATCTATCTATCTCTACATATATGTGTATATGTATAGATATATGAATGTATGTGTTGTAACGTAACGTAACGTAATGTAATGCAATGTAACGCAATGTAATGTAATGTATGTATCTATATAATGGTCGCTGTGGACCCGGAGCTGGAGGGTCTGTACGGAGATTGTTGTGAGGATGGTCGACTGTCAAATGATAGTAGACTCCAGTTTGCTGGTTGGGCGACGATTTTTGTTCAAAACACCGTCTTTGTTTTTTTGAACAAAAGTTCATTAAAACTGAATGTTTGTTGGTGAGAGGTAAATTGCTCCAGTTGTTTGTTGGTTCATTATCATGTGTTTCTTGGTTGATTTTTTGTTTCAGTATCATTTTTGCGGGTTAATCTACATAAAATACCACCAAGAAAAAACACCCATGTTTGATCGGCACGGGGAGGCTTGAAGCTGATTGGTGGCAGCGGCTGCTGAGGTTGGAGTCGACCAGAATTCTGACGGAAAGCATGGAATTTAAACATTTTACAAGGGATTGATAAGGACAACTAATTTCTAAAATCCAAACTAATTTCTAACGAAATTTACCAGGGAACATAATTGGAAATGGAATTAATGCAGTTTATTCTAACTAATCCAGATGGATGCTCATCCCGCTGAGTTTGGCGGAATTCCGAACTTTCAGGTTAGCGAATTATTCTGCTTAATCCAGATGGATGTGCGTCCCCCCAATTTTGTTGGAAAATGGAAGGTTTTATATAATCGATCCACATATTACTACACATTATTCTGTATATTGATTATATACATTTACTTTTTAACAAAGAATATGTGGGCTATTCTGAACATGGGAGGATACCTTAAAATAACCATGTTAATAAGAAGACCCGTGATAGGATCTTGGGGTACCTGATTTCCAAACGAACTCATTATATATATATAAATATACGTATATATGATTACATGCACAAAGAAACATGTGTATACTGTACGCACTCAATAAACGTACCAGTTGACAAACACGCAAAAGAAACGTATGCGATTTGTGTTTATATATACATATAAATAAGCATACATACATAAATGAACTGGGATGGTTTGGGATTTGCCCCCACTTGCCGACCAATGTATTTCAACATGGTAACTCTTCTAAAAGGTGTACTGCTCCTTTGAAACGAGGGTTCGACATCTGGAGGTGCACACTGCACTCCTTCAAAGGGCATGGTGCAACTTTTCAAGGAATACTTCAAATTTTGTTTGGATATTGTCCCTGCAAAAACACACTGCATTGCCCCAAAGGAAGGTTACTCTTTTTCAGAAGGATATGTTTGTTTTGAATACTGCATTTGTCGGCGGGCATTAGGATGTTGTAATTATGTTGAAGTCATCTAGCATATTCTGCAGAAAGTGTGTTTTGTTGAAGGGACACCTGTAGTAGCATTTATCTAAGGTAGAATGAACACCTGGACACTTCTTCAAGCAATACATGCTCTCTAGTGGACATGAACACCGCTTTATCTGTAGCTTAAGCTTTAATGTGATTACAGTTTTGAAAAAAACAGAAGGGTATGTTTGTTTTGAATACTGCATTTGTTGGCAGGCATGGGGATGTTGTAATTATGTTGAAGTCATCTAGCATATTCTGCAGAAATTGTGGCTTGTTGAAGGGACACCTGTAGTAGCATTTATCTAAGGTAGAGTGAACACCTGGACACTTCTTCAAGCAATACATGCTCTCTAGTGGACATGAACACCGCTTTATCTGTAGCTTAAGCTTTAATGTGATTACAGTTTTGAAAAAAACAGAAGGGTGTGTTTGTTTTGAATACTGCATTTGTTGGCAGGCATGGGGGTGTTGTAATTATGTTGAAGTTATCTAGCATATTCTGCAGAAATTGTGGCTTGTTGAAGGGACCCTGTAGTAGCATTTATCTAAGGTAGAGTGAACACCTGGACACTTCTTCAAGCAATACATGCTCTCTAGTGGACATGAACACCGCTTTATCTGTAGCTTAAGCTTTAATGCGATTACAGTTTTGGAAAAAAAGAAGGGCATGTTTGTTTTGAATACTGCATTTGTTGGCAGGCATGGGGATGTTGTAATTATGTTGAAGTCATCTAGCATATTCTGCAGAAATTGTGGCTTGTTGAAGGGACCCTGTAGTAGCATTTATCTAAGGTAGAGTGAACACCTGGACACTTCTTCAAGCAATACATGCTCTCTAGTGGACATGAACGCAGCTTCATCTGCAGCTTAAGCTTTAATGTGATTACAGTTTTGAAAAAAAGCAATTAAAAAAGTGCACTCCCACAGTGCCCTGCTCTCATAATATATTATATATATGTTTATTATTTATTTTGTATCGAATGTAAAAAATAAATATAGATATTAAATACTTTGTATTATATGTATTTTATATACACTACATACTATATTTATATACTATAACATGTATTTATATATATACATATATATACTATAATATATATATATATTATTTTATTTATTATATATTATTTATTTTCAATATGTTTTTTCTTTGATTTCGGCACTTTATATGATATATGATAATGTTATTAATATATATATATGGTATAATTTAGATTTATGGTATTTATTTACTAGTTTGATATGCATTATTTTATTTACATGTTTTGTTATTTATATATATTATGTGTATATATATTGTACTATACATATTATGTATTACAGTATGTGTCTTTTATTTGTCTTTTATATATCATTCATATCATATATAATGGTGTAATTTGGTATAGCATATATATATATTACACATATGTATAATTTGTATCTGATATATTTAATATTGAATATTCAATATATAGTATTCAATATTTAGTATATTATATTCAACATTTACCATTGTATATTAGATGTATATTATGTAGTTTCTTTTTCATATTTTATATACATGGTATACTTGTTTTAGATGTTACGTTACATTTTTTTAGATAAATATTTTTTACACATATATTAAATGTATGTATATTATGTTATCTTTTTAAATATATAATATATTTCTGTTTATTATATATCATATACATATATTGATTATTGTACCTTATTTCTATATAAATATATATTTATATCACGCATTATATTTTGTATAATATTTATATAGTATATCATTTGTATACATATATATAAAAATGAATTCCATGTATTATATTGTCATTACTATATATAATTTGTTTATATAATGAATATATATATATATATTGTATGATATATTATATATGTACTTTATATTTTATTTACCATTTGTATACATTTTTCTAATATCAACTGATATATTTATATATTCAATAGTTTATATCATATACATATAATAAACATATTATCTATACGTATATACATATATACACATTATATACATATATGTATATGTATATATATATGTGTATATTCTATGTACGTGTATGTGGCATGTAGATACAAAATGACCCTTGACTCTTACTTCTTCCGTTGATGGTTTGCCTCCGGTGGTTTATTCTGACCGTCCAGGAAGCTCCTTGGGTCACGAGGTGTTTCTCATTGCCATGTTTGACTGCCATACGTGCAATGTAACTAGCAAAGAATGGACATAAATGTACATTCTTGGCCAGTTAAATTGCAACTTTTGTTGGCTAGATGGCGACATTTGTTGTTGTGATCACCGTTTTGGTTGAATTGCCATTATCGTTTATTCCAAATTCCAAATGTTTTATTGCAATTTAACAGAAACAACAAGAAGAACAGCAACAATAACCAAAACAAAAACAACGATAACATGTTCTTGATTCTTATTGCAATTCGGAATCCCAATTCTTATCCCATTTTCGCCCAGGGACCGAAGGTGAACTTGATGCCCGAAGCTGATACCGCTGGGACGAAGAGCATCAAAAGGAAAGATGTGTATCTAGATCCAGTTGTCGTAAAAGAAGTTCGTATGTTATTCCATCAATTGTTGTAGGTTGATCAATGTTTATGTGTACTTGGGTCACACGGTGTGTTTTTTTTCTTGTGCCCTAAAAACATGGCCTGTTTTGGATGATGGTTGCCACCTTTGCCATCAATGGAATGCTTGGATGATTTTGGAAGTAGAAACATTTAGATATACCATTATATACCAGAATACCATGAACGGTTGCGGGCAAGATGCATTATTGTTCTTGTTATCTTGCAAATTTATGTAGCATGCAATGTTTGTTGGGGTCAAAAGAATTTCCTCGCGGACGTTTCTTGGGTTGTTCAATCTCAGCGTACACAGGGCTGGTGTCAGCATCGGGCAGCCACTTTTGAAGCTGAGAGTCGCATAGCCGAGCGAGAGGGTGTCTTAAAGGACGCTCTTACGCTCGGAACGGCATAGAACGGCTGTATGGACCTGCCAACTAAGAAAAACCGACAAGTGAAGGGTGAGCGGTCAGCTTAATGAGGTTGAGGTTCAGCAAAACACTAATGAAGGAACGCAACAAACCAGTGAAATTCACTGTAATTACTGTATACAGAATTGAAGTTGACCTACTATGATTAGCAAAGTACCCCTAAATAAAGCTAAGAACATGCCCAAACTACCCATGATTCGAGTTTTTTTTTGCCGTGAGCGCGCCCCCCAAAAAAGCACATTGATCACTCCTTTAGCTATCAACATATAAAGACTAGATATATCTTGGCAATACTGTTTTGAAAACTAAAATCAATGAAAGAAAAAACACAAATTTGAATTTCATCTCATTATTTGGCAGAACGTATTGGAAACAATGTTGGATCCCGATTAGTGTCATGGGATTCTATTGTGAGACAATTCCCCCCAAAAAATGAGTATTTTCACATACTTTGAAAAGAACTCAACTGTGATATTTTTTTCTCAGATCCATTTTTTTCAGGAGGAAAGAAAGGTTCAAGAAAAATAGTAACTACTGTACCCTTTTTTGTTTGCATACCTGGTCCATTTACTTCAGAAAGCCATATCCGGCCATATCCATATTAAAGCCTTGAAAATGCAAGGTTTCCCCAAAAAATAGATGCCTTATTGAACCCTTATTAAAAACAGCACCCAAGCAATTTTTCAAGGGGGTACCCCATGAGTGACCCAGATCCTCAATAATGTAATTGTTTTGATGGTACCCTAT